CACAAAAACAAACACAGACGCAAACGCGAAAACGCGAAAACGCAAACACAACCACAACCACAACCACAAAAACAAACACAGACGCAAACGCGAAAACGCAAAAACGCAAACACAACCACAACCACAACCACAAAAACAAACACAGACGCAAACGCGAAAACGCAAAAACGCAAACACAACCACAACCACAACCACAAAAACAAACACAGACGCAAACGCGAAAACGCAAAAGCGCAAACACAACCACAACCACAACCACAAAAACAAACACAGACGCAAACGCGAAAACGCGAAAACGCAAACACAACCACAACCACAACCACAAAAACAAACACAGACGCAAACGCGAAAACGCAAAAACGCAAACACAACCACAACCACAACCACAAAAACAAACACAGACGCAAACGCGAAAACGCGAAAACGCAAACACAACCACAACCACAACCACAAAAACAAACACAGACGCAAACGCGAAAACGCAAAAACGCACACGCAAACGCAGACACAAACACAAAAACAAACACAGACGCAAACGCGAAAACGCGAAAACGCAAACACAACCACAACCACAACCACAAAAACAAACACAGACGCAAACGCGAAAACGCAAAAACGCACACGCAAACGCAGACACAAACACAAAAACAAACACAGACGCAAACGCGAAAACGCGAAAACGCAAACACAACCACAACCACAACCACAAAAACAAACACAGACGCAAACGCGAAAACGCAAAAACGCACACGCAAACGCAGACACAAACACAAACACACAAGCTGAAGGTTAGGGATCCGACCAACTAGCAGTCCACCCACAGGTAGGCCGTGGCTTGCGAAGACTGATCTTTTTTCCCGCCTCCGCCAGCGCCTCCATGTTGAAGTAGGCGCCCAGGTCCTGGCCAAAGAACATTGAGCGGGTCAAACGGACGTGGCGAGTAGAAGTGGCCATGGGTCAAAATCCTGGTTGGGTTCCAGTGAACATCCCAAACGATAGACTCAAATGGGTGGTGCACCTACCCCAAAATGGGATCCCATTGGTTTTGACCCACAGCCAAGTGAATGATCACAAATACACAGGCAAAAGCCAAGTAAAACAACCTTATACCCTCCTGTCCACTAGCATGGAACCTGACTCAGGAGGTCCTGAACGGCTGATTTCGCTCTGGTGGGTTCCATGCTCAACAGGAAAACACCAAACGCCCAAGAGATATCTCGGTATCCCTGGCCAAAGTTTTCTGGGAATCTCCTTGAATCTCACTGGAAAACTCGGCCGGAACAAGTCCCTTTGCAACAGTCATGACCCTCTGACCTTTCTGGCCCTTGCCACTCTGGATCCTTAAAGGACAGTCCTCCAAACAAATACACGCACACACATCCAGGTGAATGGACCCCCATAAGCTGACCCCTTCTGGCCCTTGGCTGGTGAACAGGCTCGGATCTAAGCCACCTTGGGGCAAAGTGACCTTCATGAGATCATTCGGGTGACGTATCATGGAGGCTCATCCAAAAGTGGCAACGACCACAAGCTGGGCTGACAAGGGACATGTACAAAAAACCGTCCTTAGCCCACAAAAAGAGTAATTGCGAAGACAGTATCAGTGCCAGATGCTGTTTCATATTTCGTCTACTTACCCCAAAATGTAACATAGTTTTGGCATCGGCGACCCTTCAAGGAAGGAAGGAAGGAAGGAAGGAAGGAAGGAAGGAAGGAAGGAAGGAAGGAAGGAAGGAAGGCAGGAGCCTCAAGCATGCAACCCCGAAAGTTGCCATGATGTTGCTTTCCTTTGGAGCAAGCAGACCGCTTGTGGACCTCTGGACAACTGGATTAGTCTTCCACGCCTTCCTGCACAAAAATGCAATCAAGTTGTTTGTGAATTTGCGGGGGGGAAACATGCTGTCTTAAAGTGAAAAGGGTGTGGGTCAAAATTAACCACCAGGGAACCGCATGTTTGTTTTTCATGTTTCAATTAACCAGAATTGCACGCTGGGGTTACCCTAGTTTTGACTTGCACCCAAACAGTGACTACCATGATGATTGAGGGTCGCATGGCTCCCCTGCTGGATCCGAATCAATCTGGCTGTGGGTCAAAACCAATGGGATCCCATGTTGGTTGGTAGCAGAATTCACCACCCATTTGAGTCTAATATATTTTAGTGGGGATTGGGATGTTCACTGGAAATACGGGCTTTTATTGGTTGATGTTCACTGGGGCTACGATTTGGCTTTTCACCCGTGGCCATCTTGGAGTGGAACGGTTCCGCTCGACTCCGCCCGGCTCGCGGCTCGCGGCCGGTCCTTTCTGGCTTGCGTGAGCTTGCATAGGTCCTGCGGAGCTGGCTAAACCTCTAGGTCCAGTAGAGAGGTTCGACATGGTTCGAATAAGTTGGTACTCGATTTGTTGTCTGTCTATTTTAGGGGAATCCCTCCCCCAAAAAGAAACGGGAGAGAAGGGCACTGGGGGACCTGGTCTAGGAATCAGCCTCCAAAGTCACAACAGGTATATAATGATGAGTAGACGTGCCTTAGTTTTGGAGTTGAGACTCCGGTGGAGCCAAGGGACGGGCTTGGCATTCCACGAGACCCCATCCAGGCACATGGATTTAACAGGCCTCGTCCGAATCCAACAAATCTGTAATCGCTCTAAATGAGCATGAGTGTTAATCGGGGACCCGGAATGGTGGACATCATTCAGGTGGGGATAAATCGTCCACCAACCACTTTTGAGGTGTCCCTATTTCATTTTATAGCCAAATACAAAAAGAGACTCTGCAACAAATCCTCCCCGAAACACACCTGACAAATCAACATAAAACAAACAAATAAACAACCGCGTCTCGTTTGGGGCGTGAAGCGGCTGTCAAACAAGTGGGCTATTTTCCAAACACGCGACTTCTATGGGGTGCGCGGCCCTGGGTCCTGCTTAGTATGTTGGCATTAACTAACCTGCTTGGTTGCGGACGCTACATGCAAACTGATCCACTCAAGGTGGCGTTCAACATGTAGCCTATGCCCACCCGAGCCAACTCACAATCCTATGCCCGGCCCCTGATGTAAATGATTGTCCTTGTACCAAACAGGGAGTATACACATTTATGTGCAAATATCCACATTACATACATTGTCAAGGCAAAGCAAGTTGCGCTTCCTGTGGCTTCTTAGAAGATGCACCCCTTCCCCGAATCCTCCCTTTTGCCGCCGGGCCAACTTCGCCACACCTGAAGCCTATGGCGGACTCGGATCCCGTTCTCCTGGCCGCTCATGACGTCCCAAATGCCGTCGGTGGCGCACATGAGCACAGCGCGGCGGCCCAAAGCCTTGCCTGCCGACTGGGCCCAACGGACGACCTCCGAAGGCTTTGGTTGCTGGGGTCTCTGCCCAAAGCGCCGGAGTCTGGGTTCCACGGGTTGCTGTTTGGGATAGCACTTGGGTTACCATTGGCTGCAAGGTTTTGTTTGTTCCAATGAGTGGCACGTCGTTTTTAGAGCTGGTGCCGGCTTTTCTGGTGGTTTGAAAGGGAAACCAAAAGGAACTCCGAAGCCATTTTGGGTGGTCACCTGAATCAAGACACACATGTTTAATTTCAGAGGTGTCCTTTCTAGACCTTATTGGAAAGACTACTTCCCGTGTCGCTTCCAATTTTAGAGCTGTCAAGCCCAAGCTTGTAAACTAAGGCCCAGGCAAAAGGATTGCTGGTTGCACATCTGATTCTGGTTTCACTTTTAGTTTTAGTGAGAATCACTTGCAATATTTGCGGCATCCACCGTAGAGCTTTGACGCCACCGAACCGCAAGCACGGAGCACGCCCGATCTGGAGGCTGGTCCCATGCCCTGTCAAAGCCTTGGCTGAACGCCAAGCAAACAAGAAGACATGATTAGACCTAGGCCCAGTTATAGAATGTATATTCTGTTGGTTGCTTCCCTTTGAGTCACTGGTAAAATGTAAAATGTATCCTAAGTCTACCCCAGAGCGTAAGCCAAGGGAGGGCCATTCCAGCGAACCCACGCAGTCCCAAAGGCCATCTCGATCTGGTGCGTTCAAAGCAGTGGATGCCTCCCTGGCTGCGGCTCATGGACATCCGCCGGAGGACAAAAAAGCTGTGGAACAGAGATGCCGTCACCGTTGTACCGGGGAAACCAAAATGAAAGGCCAATCTTGGAACAACAAATCAACTGAAGGGCGCGAAACTCGGCAGCCCTTGTTTTTCTTGTTGAACTTAAGGTGCCACTAAAAAGACATGCGAGAAAACCATAATGATTACCAGTATAGCCACATTCCTGAGTCTTAAGATGTCCTAACCGCTAACGCGTGAAAACTGGAGAAAATCCCTCAGATTCACCGTCTGGGCTGGTTCTTTCCAAAGCTTGGGCTCTAACTCGATGCTAGTGACGGTGCCGGGCTAACAGAGCAACCAAGCCCCTAAAGTATCTAAAAACTCCACATGCTCCAGCGCTGCTGTGTTTGCAGTCCGTTTCTGGCTCGGAAATGGAAGGTATTCATTCATTTTGGGATTGGGGACACACTGGCAAAAAACGACCTTTGTTGCCCCCCAAAGAAACGCTGCATGCTACACAAGAGCTCAAGTGTCTGGGAGAAACTCCTTTTCTGGCTTCCTATGATTGCAGGAAGTGAACTTGCGGTTTCTTTAGCGCCCCGTTTACAGAAATCCGTTCCACATTGCCAACGAGGACAACTATGTGAGCACGAAGCTCTACCAGTCAGGGTTGCGCCGTTGCCCCTGTGAACATGTTTAAACCAAAGCTTGATAAACCTACTCTTTGGCTCCCTTTATCAATTGTTTGTGGCACTCTGCCTCTATGGGAAAGGCAGGTCACCATCCGAAACAAGCATATCGTCCCCCGGAGGACTCCCGGCTCCGCCTGTGCCAATGTCCACAGTTCGCACCTGGCGAGCACCAAAACGCATTGTCTGCAGTGCTGCCAGTTATCCTCCCAACTTTCATGGCACCTGACTTGGAAGGGACCCAACGGGGGATGCAACTTTCATCATCCAAAGCTCGCAGCTCGCTCGCCGCATGCCAACGATCACGATGCCTCGGGCACGATGGAGATCACCCCGGGCTTCACCGTCATCTTTACGTCGAAGTCCCCAAGCGTCCTGCAGCTTTCGGCTTGCGGGCATTCCGGCTTGGGGACACTTCCATTTCCATTCTTTCCAGGGATCCGACTCTTTTCAGAAAACCATCCCAGGGGAAACAGCTGGTTTTTGATCCGAATCTTTTCAGAAATGGTCGACTCCAACAAAAATGTTCGGATTCTCTTCCATATTCAGCCTCCAAAAACAACAAACAATGTGCCAGCATAGAATCCTGATCGCGACAAACAGGCGGATGATCGCACACCACCTCTAGCAGCACCCACCGAAGAGCGCGGCGAACAGCACCCCCCAGAGCACAAGGCCGTCAATCTCGCTAATATTGCGCCCGCACTCCTCCAATAGCACCCCAACAGAGTCCCAAAACAACATCTGCACCAGCACCCCAAACTGCATGCCCTATAGCACCCTACGGTAATCTTGCAAAACTGCGCCCGCACCATCATCAGCACCTGAATATCACCCCAAACTGCACTCCCCCTACCTACCCAGCGGTCAATCTCGCAAATCACTTTCCCTTTTTATTAGCAGTTAGAACCCCTATAGCTTTCAGCTATCCGGGTAACAATCGAGGGGGCCTCCGAAGGCCCCCTCTGCCCTGAGAAGGTCCATCGCCTTAGGTCTAAGTTCACACCAGGGCCCAGGGTCCCTCGGTCCAAAGCGGAACGGGAGCGCCTGGATGGCTCCAGCCCCTCCACTCGCCCTTCGATGACCTGGGGTCATCGAGGGTGTCCATTTGCTGTTTCGTCCCCGGGGGGAAAAATACAAGGGAAAAGACAGTGCCCTGGTTCCATGTGGTTAAGACCACGGGAAAAACTGAACATATTTCCAGTAGTGATAGATTCGCTTTAAAACCAACAGGAGAAAATCACAAATATTCTGAACCAAGTGGAAGCTCCATCGCGCCCCTTTCACTCGACTTCTGGTTCTAAATTTGTTCAGTTTTTTTTTGCCTTCCCATATCCCCAGTTAAAGCAGTAGAACCTATGGCCAGGGCTCAATTCGGCTGTTTCTTTGAGAGCACCCGTTTGAGGCTGGCTCAAAGGAAGCAAAACAACAAGAACTTCTTGGGGGTCCCTTCTTTTGGGCTAATATGTTTGCCCTGCCCGCTTTAGCAGCAGGGGCATCCCCTATTCCATATCAGCCAAGGACAAGGGAACTACAAATGGCGGGCGGGCCATCTGTGTCCCCCAACTCTATGCTGGGGTGGACATACCTTGGCCAGACTGTTTACCGGGCGAATGGGAAAACAAAGCAACACCCAAAAGGGCAGAAGGCATACAGGTGACTTAAGCTTGGCCGGTATACTTTTTGAAGGTCCCCCAGGAGCTTCTAGTTGCCGCCCAAGGCTGGCACTTGGCTTCAACTGCGGGTTGTTTTCTGACGGCCTCCCCCTCTTACGCAGGTGCCTCCAGCTACCGATACGGTCATACAAAACCTAGAGGGAAACATATCTGGCTGCCTACTACAAAGGCAACTGACGCACTAGGTTGGCTGTTGCCTGTGCAAACAATATTATTTCGTTGGATAGTAGGCAAAACACAAACACACACACACACACACACACACACACACACACACACACACACACACACACACACACACACACACACACACACACACACACACACACACACACACACACACACACACACACACACACACACACACACACACACACACACACACACACACACACACACACACACACACACACACACACACACACACACACACACACACACACACACACACACACACACACACACACACACACACACACACACACACACACACACACACACACACACACACACACACACACACACACACACACACACACACACACACACACACACACACACACACACACACACACCCACCACACCCACACACACACACACACACACACACACACACACACACACACACACACACACACACACACACACACACACACACCCACACCCACACCCACACCCACACACCCACACCCACACCCACACCCACACCCACACCCACACCCACACCCACACCCACACCCACACCCACACCCACACCCACACCCACACCCACCCACCCACCCACCCACGCACGCACGCACGCACGCACGCACGCACGCACGCACGCACGCACGCACGCACGCACGCACCCACACACACACACACACGCGGTTTCTCAACAATCGAAACTCTTTTTGGGGAACCCCCGCACTTTTCGGGCTTGATGATTTGCAAAGAGCTAAGCTCAACTTGAAATTTCTCGAGCTGGCAGGATTGGGGTGTTGCCTTCAAAAGCGCTCCTGATTCCCTCCAAGACGGGTCGCTACTAATCACCATCTTTCTGTATCCTGGGCATTAGGCCATGCTGGATTCGGTTGGTTTGTGCCCGTAGTCTGCGCTCATTTCCAAAGGCCCTTTCTACATTGCCCGTTACTTTGTTTCACCAGAAACCAACGCAAAGCAAAGCAAAAAGCCACATGTCCATTACTTGGATGCTATTGTGTTAGTGGAGAACCAGTTTCCTCTCAAAGATCCCTCTTGGTTCCAACTCCAGAAATTCACATGGAACCTGCAAGCCCACAAAACATGTGTTTCCTCCAACAATGCTCCTTTTGTGTCCCTCACAGAAGAAAACTGATCTTAACATCGCTCAAAAAGGGACGAATACGGCCCCTTGTCCAACAAAAAACGGTTGTCTGGTAAAGCTAAAAAATCCGATAACCTTCTATGGAAACTAGCCGCAGTGGTAGGCTACGATGAATGCACTAAATGTTCTAAGTAAGCGAACAGGGAAACCGGCTCTCCATTTGCCGTGATGATCCGTGGTTTTGTGCTTGAGCATTTTGGTGTGCGCGCAAGTTGGATTATTTTCAAGAATAATTGTTCTTTGGTTGATTTTCATACAGTTGCTGAAGGCAACTGGGCAAAATGCACATAACTATTTCCAGTAGTGATAGATCGCGTTTAAAACCAACCGGTGAACACAAGCAACCTTCGGCAAATAGTCAGCCTTCCTCTGATTGGTGTTTCGGATGGGTTTCCATTTCTCCTCTACCAGAACCCTGGCTTCAACTCCATAGATCCACCGAGCCCGGTGGCTCCAAACCAGCCAAGCGCCAGGTTTTTCGGTGGTTCAGGGCATCCACCGCGCGCGAAAAGCTCGGCGCCAGGCGCATCCACCGACCGCCTCTATCCTCTTCTGCTCTGTGGGGCAGCTGGCCTAAGCAAAAAGAACCGGCCAAAGCAGAGCACCGAAAAGGCGCACTAGGTCCTCCAGATTTCAGAGGTTAGAATTTCTGGGTACCCGATTTCTTTCGGTGTTGTCGATTTTAGTAGGGGAACCCTCCCAAAAAAAGGGGAGAGAAAGGGCACTACTGGGGGACCTAGCGCAGGAGTTTCCCATCTTTGGGCTGTCAAAACTGGGTGGCAAGCCCCCCCCCCGCACCTTTTTCGAACAGCTTGTCACTTTTTGTGGCAAACGCATTGACCCAAGGTGTCAAGGGGTAAAAACCCAACCAAGCTGCGATCTATTAACACAAACAACGCAGGCGCCAGGGGGAAAACACAAATCCGTTTGTGGTAGTCGATTTTGACGGGACATCCACTTCAAAAACGAGAAACACGGAGCCGAAAGCAATTTCCGGTCTTACTGCCGGCTGAGAAACCAAACAAACAATGAGTTGTAAGCTTTCCATGTGGACAAGCAACTCTTGGGATGGTTTCAATTGCAAATCAGGAGAATCCATTTTGGGTGGGTACTCGGAGCCCAGTTTGGATGGAACCTTGTTTGACCAATAATTTCGGGCCGACACCTCCGAAGCCTGGCTGATTTCTCCGGCTTCGAGGTAGGGAACCCTCGACCTTGATTGCTCATTCGGGTATGGCTCACTACCAGCTTTTGAGAACTTGTTTTCAAGTGGTTTGATTCAAGGGGGGTGGGTTGCTGAGGCTTCAAGGGTTGTACAAGCTAAACCGGCAAGTCACCAAAGTGAATTTCCGCGAAGAACGGCTTGTGTAAGGGCAGAAAGACGTGTTTTGAAGCTCCTGGATTCTGAAAGGCCCGTGAATGGCCGCGAAGCAAGAAGAGCAAGAAGGTCGAAGCGAGAACATTTTGATTGAAGAAAGCTTCTGAGAAGGCAAAGCAACTGCTTCGTTCAATTCGTAAAATAGATGAAGGGGAGGCAAAGCTATCAAGCAGAAAACCAAAGGTTTTGGGGAAATATGAGTGTTCGAGGGAGCTCTCACTTTTTCGGACGGCAACCGCGCCTTGTGGTCCCGCGACAACCATGTGATCTGCTCCGCCTGCTCAGATAGGGAGATCGGCTTGAGTTCCTTGTCTACACAAGAACAAACAACTGAGACCAGTAATTGTAAGGGACTGAATGGTTACTCGAATGATTCTCTTTTGATCATAGACTTGATTTGGTTTCAACATCTCCCACAGCCTCATTCCGACCATTTAGGCCCTTGTAGCACAGGGTGCCCGTTGCTACACAGGAGCCGCATGGGCGTTCTCCTATTTCAAGACATGGTTTCTCGTTTGAGCGACCTCCTGATTGAACATAAATGGACCTGCAAGAGAGGTGGCACTAGAACTAGGGCCCTCAAAGCCTGGGGTTGTCAAAATTCCTTTTTGGCCTGGTGTCCCTTTAGACAAACATTTAGAGAGGACACTTTGAGCATGTCACTTTGATCAACCCGTGAATGGTAGCCTGCTGTCCTTTTGGGAGTGATTGCTAACGACAGCCACATGTTCTCATGGCGGCACCTTTCTCTCTGTCTCACTGCCTCCATGGTAGCCTGCTGTCCACTTCATGTATGTGTTTGTGAATGGGGCGGGGCTTGCCGTAATATGTATTTGTACATATACACAGATACATCATTTTCATATGCGTATACTATACCATTGTATACCCTTTTCGCAAGGGACAACATCGGGCTATCAGATATCATGGGGGCATCGTTCTCGTTCGTGTATTTATGCATGCTGTCTTCATACCAGCCTGATTGCTTTTTGGCGATATTCAATCGTGGGCTGCCATCGCCTAAAACTTGCAGATGTGGATGAACCATCATGCTGTCGCTGCTGTCGAAATGTGATGCAGGAGGACAGGGGAATATAAACATATACTCTATATTATATTATCATTATAAGTATTAGCATCATTATTACTATTATCATTATCTCACTTGGCCAGTGACCAGCCCAAAAAAAGTGCACACTTTTTGGGTCACCACTAAAACAAAGGGAAAGCCACCAAGGAAAAAAGTGTAAAGTGCGCCCACTGGCTGGGTGAGTTATTCAATCTCCCAAGGACGCAACCTTCCTGACGTGGCCTGAAGTTTCAAACGGCCCGGCCGCACGGCACTTTTCGCCCTTCCGCGCCTTGGCAGCGCCCGCAGGAGTGGCCTCGGGAGCTGCACTCGAAAGGGACGCAACTGGTATGGGAGCCCAAAAAACCCGACGGCTCCTCGAAATCCGACTGGAACTCTGGCGATGTTTGGTGTGGAAGCAAACAACTTTACTTGTTGCAGCCCACAAAATAATGAATAGAACCCAAACAACTAAAAAAAGAACAGAACAAGAACATGCCAAGAACTGTGGAGTGTTGGAACCCCAAAAACGTGCGACATGAGACATCCAGGTCCTTCAGTAGAGAGGTTAGAATAAGGATAATAAGGTACCAACTCTTTTTTCTGTAGTCTATTTTAGTAGGGGAACCCTCCCCCCCAAAAAGGGTAAAAGGGGACCTAGACATGGAATCACCTCACCAGGTGCACTCGAATTGGGTTTCCTTGTGGAACCCAACACAATAGACAAAAACAAATCAACTAAAGACATGTCCACCACGCCAACCCTTGGGATCCGTCCTCCAGCGTGACCAGCGCGGCTCTGCAGTCCCCGAGGTTGGCGCACCACACGCGGCCTTGGGGGATGGGATTCGAAAAAATATCCCCCTCTGAAGCCTCTTCAACCGCCTGAGCCAAACATAAACCAGAAAATTGCCCTTGTGGGGTTCTGTATGTTTCGCTGCAAGTTGAGCAAATCATGAACAAGCTCGACCACGGCACACATGCCCGGGCTACACGATATCGTAGTTTCATTCCGGACCGTGCCCATGTGTTCCATGAAGCGCCTGGAGAGGTTACCTTCTGTGTGCGACCTCCGCCGACGTACCGCCAGCTTTCCTGACCACCACTGGTGCAGGCCATACAAAAGAGGTGCACTGTCAATCAACGGCCATTTGGCGCTGCATAAGCTTTCTCAGAGCTGCCAATCTAGTTGGAAACCGTTGAATCAACAGCTCTGCATGCAAGGCAGGCTATAAATTGGTCGGAGGCGGCCTCGTCTGCAAGCTTGTCTCAAACCACATCAAGGACATGGTGGGAAAACAGCTTTACATCTGCAAGCGAGTGAACATTTTGCCAAAGGGCCTCCGGGAGTCCAAACTCCCGTCAAGTACATGACAACATTGCTGCGGAACAAGCGAAGCGTCGCTGCAAACTTCCTTGCCACTGTGACATGCCGGCATAAATCGCATTCCGGAGCAGCTCAGCCGGAGGAATCGCCCGCGAACATTTCACTCTCAGAATAGCAAGCACTTCCCCCCGTTTCACCTGCCCGGTGGATTGACTCAGGCTTAGGCCTTCAAGCTCTGTGACCATATCTTGGGGTGGTGGAGGTGGTGGTCTGCCTTTTCCAAGGGGCAATGGGGCACCCGGAAAAAAAAAACAAAAAAAAAAACCTAGATCACCAATCCCCGTGTCCGTTTCAAGGAAACCAACACAATCCTGGCAAGTCGTCCCGGCTACCCCACCAGTGAGCCTCTTCCGGGGTTCAAATTTGGTGCCATGTGGGTGTTTTTTGTGTACCCTCTGAGTTTGGCTAGATCCCGTGCAATATGGGTACAGCACAGCCCATTCCCCGCCTATTTGGCACGCTGGATGCTCTGAATATTGCAAGCTCACGCATGCGTAACTTGTAGGGTTTAGGGTACCACCTTTGTTTCCCTTCAAGACCAGCCCAGAAAGTGCCCTGACAAAACACTCAGCCACTTGAAGGAACAGCCGCACCACCAGAACAGAAGCAACCCCTGGGATTCAACCCACCAATACACCGCCGAGGAGTTTCATCTAAAACGAGCAGCGACCAAAATCTAGTTCTACAGGGCTTGTCATGGTTGATATTTCGTCAACCCGTGTTAAGCCAGGTAGAACCACCTACTGAACTGGGCGGGGCTGTCCTCAGATTCCCAGCTAAAAGTGAACAACTTTTGGTGGGTGAAATAGAAGTCCAACCACTTGACCCCAAAAATCCCCCCCAAAAAGCTCAGGAACCGGATGGCTGGGAGCCACCAAGAGATATGGCTCCTTGTGCTGCTCAAAATCGGGTCCGATCTCTGATCCGATCTCCGATCTTAGGCGTCGGCCACCGGCAATGGTGCAGCTGTTAACGCACCTGGGCTTTGTGGGAGGCTCTGATCCCAGATCGGGTGACCGGGCTGTGAGCTTTTCTCCATGGGGAGAAAAATGCCCCCTCCCCCCCCGTTTTTGTAGCTGATCACAGTTGGCGCTTGGGGACCTGGGAAAAAAGGTGATCAGGATCTTGGCCAAATTTGGACCAAAAGAGAAACCCGAAACGTTGAAAGGTCGATCCGTCTTGAACAGCCGAGTGATTTCCGGACGCTTCCCGCCTCCAAAAAAGGACACAAGAATCGGCAGAAGCCAGAAACCTCCGGAAATGGCAGCAAGTCACCATCCATCCCGGTAAGAAAGCAACCAGAAAAGGGCCTCGGAAAGGTGTTTAAAAGCTGTTGAAACAAATCAAGGAGCTTATCGGCTTGATTTGAGAAATTGTGAACATCATGCAAGCTGTGGGATGTCTCAAAGCGGGATCGCACGTCTGCCTTTCAAGCTGCGTCCACATGAACTTTAATCATGAAAGCTCACCCCAGAAAACACACATCATGCAAATCTGGCGCAACGAAGGCAAATACAGCCCAGGAGTGCCTTCTGAGCTTCGGAAGGTGTCCTTTTGACAGATCGGAAGAAAACACGGGAACTATATAACATGCAAACAGAACAAGTTCCCAAGGTTACACCTAGTGGCAATCGAACGCAAGGCTTCCCCACGAAATGACTCTTCATCATGTTAGATTGTCCTGTGGGACATCATTTGATGTGTGTTCTGTATGTGTGTTAGTGTGCACGCATTTCATAGCACTAACCAAGGTTTGTGTTCAATATGTTTCTCTCAGTGGTCAGTGACCAACAGCCCAACCTTGAGGATGCTAGTGTTTGCTCACAGGAAGCAACAACCCTAAGACTGACTGGCACGAGGTACTTCGGGGAGCACTCAGATGTGCATACTTTGAGTCTGCCTTTGAAACCATCTCGAATCTGTCTCATGTCTGCCCATTGACAAGGGAAATCATAAAGAAAGAGCGAAAGACAGATAGGCAGAAAGAGAAGCACGAAAAGAGCGAACGATACGTACACGATAACAAGAAGGGGAGAGAGAGAGAGAGAGAGAGACAGAAAGAGAAAACAAACAATCAAATATAGCTGAATAAAGCAGCAAAGAACATCAGCAACAAAGACAAACATGCAAGACACGAAACAATATAGAAATACATCAACAAATAAGCAGGCAAAGACACGCGGAAGCAAAGGAAGACACTAACAAAGAAACAAACAAGTAAACAAAGCAATACCAACAACAACAACAAAAGGAATAACCACATGTGTGACACGCATAAGGTTAATACAATAACGCAACAACAAAGCAAGGCAAACACAAGCGACTCGTAGCCAAGTCACTTCATCAAGCAAGACACACACACACAATTCGAAAGACAAATACAACCGTGACACACTACATAGATGTCACGAACAAACACTGGAAGCAATACGCACAACCAAACACAATCAAACACATATGTGTAGGTACATACACCTCAAAACCCAAGTGGCCATGGGAAACCTTTGCACTGGAGCTCTGGGTACATATAGAAATAACTTGCTGGGTAGGAAATGAGAGAATGAACCCAGGCGTTGGCCCCCCCTAAAGGACACCACCACTTGGATGGTTTGTAGGGGTCCTTCCCTCACTCCCTGCTGAGCACCAGCAAGATACGACGCCAGTCTATTTTAGTAGGGGAACCCTCCCAAGAAAAAGGGGCAAAAGAGCACAACTGGGGGACCTAGCCATGCCCTTCTTGCCCACTCAATGCTTTTGACTGGGCTAGCGGCGTGCCGGCCGTCGCATGCTCTCGCTTCAGGCGGTCTTCCATCTCGGCCATGGCCTCCATGTAAGCCTGGACTTGGACATCTGAGTCAACTGGCGTTGATCTAGGGGCACCTTCCCGGTTCTTTCCAGGGATCCTTCTTTCTAGAAAACCACAAAAAACCCGGGGAAATCGCTGGCTTTCGAAAAGAACCATAAAGCATGGTTGGAATCAACCCCTAGAATTGAAATGGTCTACCCAAGGTCAGGTAAAGAAACAAAAAGGTCAGATATCGGCACCTACTTCTGGCTGGGACTGTTGCTAATCTTGACTTTCCCAGGTTTCGATTGCGGCTCATCTGGGGTACACAGAATAACATTTTGTTCCATACTCCACCCTCCTGTGGATGGACGAAATCCTGCCCTCCGAAGAAACCGCGGGATGATGACTCAGCTGGATATACCAACAAACAATGGTTTCGCATAGTTTCAAAGTGGTGCAGGACATAGTTTTGGGATCGGAGACGCCAAATCCCAAACCCCAAGAGCACTTCGAAAGGAACCTTTTAGGGGCGAATGGTGTCCTGTGGTTGTAAGGCTCAAAATAGCGATGCTAGTTTAGGCTTGTCTGATAATCATGAAATGTCTTGTGGCCTTAAAGCACCTCAAGTCCCCATTCTAGTCACTTGGGATTAAACATGTATAATATTCTTTCCAATTGGCCTGTTTGGCGCGAGCCAAACACAACTCAAGGGAGTTCTAAACGCCTTGGCCAACCATACTGCCCTGGAAATCAAAAACACGCGCGTTGACTAAACCCTTTACAATCAGCCAGCCACAATTTTGACAGGGTGATTGACATGCATGCTGGGTTTAGACAATCTTCCAGAGAATCCTTCTGGGCAAACATCGAATATTCACACATAAGGATGCCCCAAGCAAATAGCTTTCACGGGGACTGGGGTGGCAAACCCCAAGTCGGTGAGATGGCACATGTGCTGCCAGAAAGGTGGCATCCCGCACTCGCAACAAGCCACCTTTGGTACAACACGAACTATGTCCTTGCAGAGCGCCATGGTATCTCCTGCAAGTAAGTCGCAAACCAAATCTGGTGCTTGAGTAAATCCTTACACGCCTTTCAGCCTATTCATGTTTAAACCTCCCTTCTGCTTGCCTGGGTTTGACTGCGGCGGAAGAGGCATTCCCCTACAAACACGAACCACAAATAACCGTAGACTTTCGAGAGGAACCCCAGCTCGTATTGGGTGTAACAATTGTCTTACGGACAACGCTGAATATGCATCTGTCCTTGGATGTTCAAAGGAAACCAGCCGGAATCCCTTGACTACCTTAGCTGTTGCCCCCGCCAACTAAAACAATTCAAGGTTCAGGGCCATGTGTACTGGACCAAAGAAAACAGTGCATGCACATCTCATTAATCTCCTCTGCAGGTTGGTTTCCCTTTTGGCTTCTTTCCAACGAAGGGGTGCGCAATCTTAAGAAGCGCCCATATCAAACTGGGGCGTGTGCGTTTTGAGGATAGCCAATTCGCCTTGGTTTAAAAGAAAAACAAAACGAACGCCCCTCTAAACAAGTTTCAAAAGAAGACCCCTGCTACCTGGATGGACTGTACCTCTCAATCTCGCACGCACCCGTCCTCGCTGATGGGAAGACCCTCCTGCGGAAAGCTTCCGATTTGGCGCTCGCCGGGCGCACCAAATTTGGCCAAACGGCTCATAGACAAAAAGTGACACACTTCTTGCTGGAAACAGACATGGTATACAGAAACTAGGTCCTCCAGTAGAGAGGTTAGAATAAGGGTGCCCTTTTTTTCTGTAGTCTATTTTAGTAGGGGAACCCTCCCCTAAAAAAAAGGGTACAAGGGCACTACTGGGGGACCTAGGAAAAGAAAAAGGCTGGGGATCCAAGCCAGTCGAGGCCTATGGATTTAGAATTTGGAGTAAACCCCGAAGTGTTGTATGGTTCAGAAGGCCAGTGGCCATGGGACCAGTGAACCGAATTGGCACCCTCGTCTTGTTAAGTTTACAGGTCCCCGAATTTGAGAAAAACCAAAACAAGCCAAGAGCTGGATTGCCACGCCGTAAGCACATCAAGCTTAGATGATTTCCAGGCGCTACCAGTGTTTTGAAGTGCAGAACATTCTGCTTTCAATTCCTCAAATAAGGCCTCCCCAAGTAAAATCCGCCGACCCTCTGCCTCCTGTCCCAGCCTCCTGCAGAGGGGGCCGGCGTGGGATGCAACTGGAATGAAGTGATTGGAAGTGGATTCTCAGGACCGGTCCCGACACCGGTCCCACGACCTGTCCAAAGAACAGTCCTAGTGAAAAATGGTCCTGTGACCTGGTCCCAGGACCGATCCTGCGACCCAGGATCGGTCCCGGCCGGGACCGGACCGGTCCGGGCCAGCACTCACGAGCTGCCATCTTTCTGATTTTTCCGTTAATCCTTGTGGTAGTAGAGGATATCCGGATCTATTCTGCAAGAGAGTCCAATACATCGATTCAAACCGCGCCAGACGCCTGTTTCCTGACTGGCACCCGTGTTTCAGGACCGCTTCTGGGACCAGCCTGGACAGGGTCCCAAGTCCCGGTCCCTGCCGGCGACCGGTCAAGGGCAACGTCCCAGGGGCTGTTTCGGGCGGGCCAGTTTCAGGACGACCCCGAGAAAGGCCTCGCCGGGCCAACTCGAAGTGACTTGGGGCGCGAGCCGGCCCGACGGTAATTAACGGACGAGCTGCCATCTTTCTAACTTTTCCGTTAATCCTTGCGGTCGCCTCAATGCGCCGAGGGTCGGCGGCAGCAGGCGGAAGCCTGGTTAGGCAATTAGCCTGCTAGCTTTATCTATAGGGGCTGCACTCTCGTGCCGCCGACCCTCGCCACTTGGTCGTGATGCGCTGCCTAAATCCGGCACCTCTGCATCACCAGCTCGGGCTTGCGGTTTTGCTTGCGTATATGCAGGGCCATGTGGCTGACATCGTCAGGGTCTGGCAGGTCTGGGGTTGGGCCTGGGTGATGCTTCAGCGGGGCTTGGTCTGCATCATCAAGACTTCCTTCCAAAAAGCCTCAACCCATGAGGCACTGCTTTTTAGAAGGTATCCGAGGGATATGAGCGAGGCTCATTTTTGCGCATTTTGGCGCCAGGCGCTGCCGGGCATGCCGGCGATGCTGGGTCCTCGCTCTACAAAACGCTGTAAATACCGCCAAAAACTGCTGTGCTGAGAGTTGGGCTGTTGTTCTGTCCGTTTTGCTTTTGCTGCGGCTGGCTCGCGTGCTGCGTGGTCCTTGCTTTTTTCGCGTTGGTTTTCGGGCCTTCTGGCGCGCGCACGCGACCCCAGCCACAAAACGCTGCTATTTACGGTGTTTTGTTGCATTTGCGTTTCCGGGCTGGCTTGCGGGCTGTTCTTTTTGGGCTGCTGTTTCTGGGGCCTCTGGCGCGCGCGCGACCCCATGTCAGCCTTCTGGGTTGGGGCCCGGCTGGGGCCCAGAAAGCTGGCATCCCCGGCATCATCTGGGGTTGGGGGTGGGCAACATGCATAACCTAACCAGCCATATCATAGCACAAGATACGCTTCTCATACAAAAAACATGACATGACATGGTATAACTTCAAAGAGGCGTTGCCGGCTAGAGGCCGCAGGCCCAGCAAATATCTTCATCATGGTGAGCTCGCCATAAATCTTGCAGAGAACGCGAGCTTTTTGCTTTTCAACGGGATTGTGTGATCAACCACCAGGGTAGCCACAGTCGCGATAACAACATCCTCATACACACGGAACACAATTTCGAGGGGCTCCCATTTTTGGAAACACACATTAAGACAACAGAACATGATACACCCGTTGAAATCGGATCTTGGCCTGCGGGAAGCATGTTGACGCTTGATTGCTGCTTTTGGTTGTGGAAACAGTTCAGTGACTTCTGCTTTGTTCCAGCACCCCGGATTTCACAACACAATCCCTACGCAAACATCTGAACTGAGTACTACCAAGGAACATGATTAGACTTGGGCCCACTTATAGAATGTATATTCTATTATTTGCTTCCTTTTGAGTCACTGGTAAAATGTAAAGTGTATCCTAAGTCTACCCCCGGGAACCAAAAGCTGAGGGAAAAAAACATGGGATCAACTCCGAAATGATGGCTGAAGAGCTGGCCGGGATGGTACCTTTAGAGGGTGGCATGATCTTGATGAGACATTTCCTTCTGGGTACTTCTAAGATTGTGGTCGATGCCGAACATGAATTTGAATCTCAGCCTCCACTTTTGTGGTGAGTTGGTTTAGTAACTTGCAGGTTGGTTCCCACTTGCCCTCAAGAACCAGGGGTTCAAGTCCCAAACCGCGAATCCGCTCCACCAATTTCAGGTTGCCCAGTCCATGAACTATTTGGAGTGAGAAATCCAACTTCAAATCCTCACGCGATGACCCAGAAGCTGAAGACTCTTCGCGCCTTTCCCGCATGCAAGTGGCCCCCTATGCCGATAACCGGCTTTCAACTGGGAACCACTGTGGATGGGTTCCCTTCAGTGTCCCTCATCAATCCCAAGATGTACCCCAAAAAAAGCTGACGTTGCTCTACCGGAGCGGAAAACTGCAAGGCACGTTGTGGCACGGAGACGACGCATCTGAGGTGTCAGGGGCTAGCAACTGGAGTCAGTTGCCTTGAACACCTTGTGAAGTGGCTGCAGTCGCAGATGATTCTCGGAGGGTCTTTTTCAAAGAAAATTCTACAGCCAGAGGAACAACTTCCCAGTTTGCAGCAACCCTGTCATTAAAAAAGGATCCCCTTGTCCTTTTCGGGTTGACCACTTCTTCACCAACCAATGGGTCCAAAACAAGCAAAACCAAGCACCCTGTGGAGGTCGCACAAAATAGGAAACACCCCTGCGTTTAATAAAACATCTCAAACCATTTTTGCTTCTTTCAGCACTTTTTGCATCCAAACAGGGGGGTTTCCTTCAAAAAGAGACCCCCAAAACAGTTGGTGTCCTTTTGGGTTTCCCTTTGACTCATTTCCGGAGTGTGTTGCCCAAGAAAAGTCCAAACCTTCGACTGATAGGAGAGTCAAACAAAGTCCAAATCGCTGCGCATCGATGAAGCACTGCTTGATCGTTTGTTGGCAACCTTTGTGGATCTGGCTCGCCTTTGATTGATCAAGCTCCTGAGTTCATGGCCATCATAGGATGTCGCTGTGTGGGGCACCCTTTTGGCAACCAGCTTAGCTGCTGCCGTTTCCGAGCGAAGAAGCTGCCGTTCTTCGATGTCAGCAGCATAGGTAGGCCTCGCTGACGTCTTTTGTTCAGCTTTCACCGAAGCTATGCAGTCGACCTTGAAGCGCCCTGCCTTGATGTCGTCCTCTGACACGGCGTTGAGCTCATGGTGCTTGGCTACCGTGTCGCCAAGCATATGTTGTCACATTTCCATCACTTTCTACTAAATGGTCCAAACCCACCAAGTAACTGAAGTCCGAAACGGAAATCAGGGAGCGAAGTTGTTGTTTGCCACTAAAATTGAATCTTCCAAAAAGACAACTGCAGGAGCTCAGAAATGGAACCAACGGAGATGTCAAGGGGTCAGCAGGCGAACCCCTGGTTCCAGTTTTTGTGTGAAGCCGGGTGTGGATGTGAATTCGACGCACTTGTTTCTCAAGGGCGATGTTGACCCCCTGCCTGTCATGCTCAACATTTGTTTGCAGGGGAGCGGAGGGAAAAACATGTTCAAACAGAAAGTGAAAGGTTCAAGGTCCGAGCAAATACTGTGGTTTGCCAACCGTGAAACAGCCATGGTTTTGTGGTTGATGATATGGGACCAAGGGAAGCCATGGAACTGGTATGGGGGAATGAGCTGGTATGAAATTTTAGGAACCGGCATGGCAGGGGCATCCGTAGCATGGCCATGTGCCATGGAGTAAGTCTAGGTCCTCCAGTAGAGAGGTTAGAACAAGTTGGTACCATGTTTTTTGTTTTTTCGGTTTTGTCTATTTTAGTAGGGAACTGAACCCTCCCAACCAAAAAAGAAACAGAAAAGGGCACTGGGGGCCATGGAGTCAGTTCCCTTGAAACCCGACCGGCCTTGATCCGCCTGCCCACGGCGCCCGGCAGCAGTTTCGCGACCTGAGATGGGCATTTTGGCTGCGGGTCAAAAAATCGGGTAACCCCAAACTAGAACACTGGTAACAGGAACCAAGGACTACAAAACTGCGGTCCAATTCCTGGTGGTGTAATTTTCACCCATACTTTGTTTTTTCTCCGGCGGGGTCGGACGCATGTGGTTTCCCGTCAATGTGTGCAGGGCGCACGGGGATTGCGGTCAACCGTGCATGGGGTAGCAGCAGAAGCTCTGAGTGCTGGGGAAGGTGGGGTGGTATGATAAGCACCTGTGGACAATGCGCATACTCAAGGCTGTGGCAACTGCAATTTCCCGATCAAACTCATTTCCCCAATCAGCAATTTGCTCCCTCAGGATCATCCCAGCCAAAGGAAACTCACCTTACAGGGGCCCGAAAGGTAACTTTAAAACGACCAAAAAACAAAATATACAGACCCGCGCAGTTAGTTGGGAAGAATCACTTTGTGCTCGTTTTTTCTTGGAGGGTACCCCTTGAAACCAAGGGGTAGGTGGTTTATCATAAAGTTCCATCCATCTCAACTGGTGCGGGTTGGGTTTTGTGCATCCACTGTATCCGCTTTGGTGCACCATGTTTTCCCGAGCCCCAAGGTTGAGGGTACCATTTGATGTGGTTCAAAAAAGTCAAGTCCAGTCACTGAAACAATCCGGAAGATATTTTAGTATGGGGCAATGCTGGTTTTGAATTGGGCAATATTACTTTTGAACTGGGAATGAGGATTCTGGCACTCCAAATGGATTGAAAAGGAGCTTTGGCCCATGTTTCCATTTGATTTAGTATTGCTCAAAATTCGGTGCGGCCAGATGGCCCAATTTTATGACATATGGACCCACGGCCTGGGCATTCATGTGGGGTACCTCATGTGACCTTCTCAAGCCGTAACTTTTTGAAAGGGATTTGACAAAGAAGTTGCACTTTAAGAAAGCCGTTTCTTTGGGATTTCAGGCAGTTCTGGCTGATGTTTGTGCTGCCTTGGCACTGCTTCATGGCTGCGCTAGCACTGCCAAGCTGGCAGCTTTCTTTGCTTTGGCATTGCAAAGCAATGAAAACAAATGACCAAGGCAGCAGCTGTGTGGTGGTGGGACCTCCTGAATTCTTGGGTCGGTTGTGGGGACCGCTCTAAAACCATGTGGTTTCGTGAGGAAAAAAACACATTTCCATGAGTTCCAGTTAGCAAATTGTTTAGTAGGGAGCCTTTCCCCAACAGGATCAAAACGCGGCGTCGCCTTCTGAATTGTTAACTTCCCCCAACAGGAAATCAACAGGGCTTTGAATAGCGGCTTGTTTTTCCCAGATCGCATGTTGAACAAAGTAAGAGTAGTAGAAATCTGTCTAAGGAACTGAGAAGCTTTCCTGGGATGGATGTGGAGCCATCGGTCTGCAGCAGTTGGAGGTTTCTGCAAATTGACGGACGGCTCCAAAACGAAAATATATTAGAACCTCAAAAACACAAGACACACAAATAACAAAACAACAAGAACAAACAGGACAAATTAAACTCTGTTGCTTTCTGCTCCCCGGCTAAAACAAATACTTTTAGTGATTTAATGGAAAACCCATTAGTTGGCAAAAAGTTAAAGTCCTGACATCCAAACAAAATGCACCAAACTAAATTTCTAGGTTAGGTTGCCTAGCGTTCAGTTACTGTTACCGAACTCTAGGTCTCGCGCCAGGTCTGAGGCGGAGTCTGTATCGTGGCCGTCCAGGACGCCCACCTGTGGAACGAATCTGCAACCGGAAAAACAAAAAGAGAAACCAGTGACAAGTTGCCCCAAAGAGGAATTGGACCCCAAGAAAGACCCCAAAAGCGAAGTCTCTTGACCCCAAAAGGCGGCTTTATCTGTCGCCATTCGCCAATGCTTGGCCCTTAACAACCACACAAACAATTGATTGCCCAGGGATCACACTTCCTTGTAGAGCAGTAAATAACAGAGGGAACCAACCTTCAAAGACGAAAAACAATTGGCCGGGTACCCATAGTGGCTTGAAACTGTATAGTATAACCATATTGACAAACTACAAAACAAATGATGCCCTTTTGTGTGTCTGTGTACTGCCTCAACTGGGATCCCAAATCTGAATCAAGGGATCTTTGAGGGGTCCTGTGCTCCTTTCTCATCCCGCCCATCGGTGAGCTCGCGAACTAAGTGATAACTCGCGAAACAAGGGGTAACCCCCGGCATCGCCACCACAGGCTTCATGTTGATGTTAGTGTTGGTGGACATCATTCAGGTGCCTATCATATTTACAGCCATATTTGCGAGAGGATCCCTGTTTGGCTAGACAACCTGATCTATGGCACCAATATAGGTTGGGGCCCTTTGCATACAATCCCATCCCCCTCACCTACCCTCTTGCTTCCTCCAGAAGACGTCCCCAAGGCCCATCATCAGGTAGCCTTTAGTTGGTGGTTTGGACGACTTTTGGGGATTTGAATCCCTGGTTCTTGCAGTGTTCATGGGAATCATGCCCTATCAAACCACCAATCCACACCCAAAAAACAGCGGAGGCTGACTTCAGGCCTTGCTCGGAAATCAAAGATCAGGGGAGGGGATGGATCCTGTGATCAACAGGAGTCAAGGCGGTGTGGATGTGGATGCCCGTTCAAAGTGAAACGGCAACAACCACACATGTTGGAGGTTCTCCATATTTTGGACATGCCCATTGCAGATTGCAGTTAATGGGAAACCCCAGTGAAACATGCATTGAACTCAGTTGTTAGAAACACATCACCCTGATTTGGTACTGTGCTATGTATTCTTCAGTCCCCGAGAGGCTAACATATGCAAGGAATCAAGTCAGTCATTGATGAATTCCATGCAATGATATGAACACGTTCCGCTTATTCAAAGAAACCATGCTTTCCCGAAGTCTCCGTTGCAAATCGGGGGACATATGACACGACATGGCACCGCGGAATACAGCATCTTGGCCTGTAGCTGCGGTACTCCAATCACATTCTGGTGTGATTCTGTTTCACCTTGAATTGCCCTAACAATATAACATAGATTAGGAGACCCCAGTTCAGACCAACCTAACCCTACCCCTTTGGGGAGGTCGGGCAACCAAAAGAAGACCCCTGAAAATCCATTTCGCTAGCTCACCTGTGGCTAGACCTCTGGTCCGGAACTGGAAATCCGGATCCCGCCCCTAAGCCTTCACGGAATCGCGCGCTTCACGAAACGTGGGCACCGAACTCATCCTAACTCATTTCATTCAAACTCAGAGCCGGCCAAGAAACAGCACTGACCAGTGACGATTGCGGACCAGCGGCCACAACCTTTTTCCATGGCTCCCCTCTCACTTGCCAGGACCTAGAAGTAAAGGTTCCCCTTTCAAAACCTGAACATGAACCACATCAGGCAAACCCAAAATTCCTGCCCGAAGGACCTAGAAAGAAAGGTGATCACCTTTTAGAGCCATGACCAAAAGTCAACCAAAAAGGGAACCCTAAAATGCCTAAAAGGCAAAAGGTTGAGGGTCGATTCGCTTTGGTCGCAAGTGAGTTCTGGCGACCCAATGAGCTCCCTAGGTCTCCGGCGGTGTGAAACTCGAGCTGATCGCCGAGGCAGTCGTGAGCCGCCATGCACCGATCCTGAGAAAGAAACAAAAAACACGAGGGTCAAAAAAGCGTGTGTATATGTAGAATATGTGTATATATATATATATGTATGTGTATAGATTGCAAATTTGTTAGTATACCCAAGCACATATTTGAGTTGGGGGTCTGTGTGCCAACTGATTCTTACCGACTATAATGGGGTTGCGGGGTACCTTAAAAGCAACACTTGCTAGCAGTGGATCATAGCATATTGATTTTGCCTGTCATTTCTATGGCTTCCTGAACAGCATGTATACGCACACAGCTATTGCGCATGAATATCTTTCTCACGAGCTTGTGATGGTCACAGCTGCTACAAAGCCCCTGCAAGGAGACTCAGGACGCGATTGCCAAATCCGGCTGAAGCCGGCATCAAGAGTAAAGAATTTGTTCCTGGCTTTACATTGGGATTCGCCTGATTCCCTACTACCCACAACCCCAGCCAGTTGAAAAGAAAGGACCCCTTTTTTGGGAGGTTGTAAAGCCACCAAAGGGGAACCCTCCTTCAAAAAAGGGGGAAGCCAGCGGAGCATCGGAAGTCGAGAGCTTCAGTCGCAAGGCTCTCTTGGGGAAATGGAACAGCAGCTGTCATGGGGCGAAATCATCACAATTCGTGTGTCTTGTTTAAGGAGAACCCCCCCCAAAAAAATGTGGTGGTCCTGTTGTATCGTTTTGAATCGGACAAATCAAGGACATTCAACAAAAATACACAGCCACATTGTTGTCCTTTGATGAGGTCGTTTGGTTGCGGTACCCCGCAACCGCGTTCAACATATTGATCGGCCCTTATCTTACGGGAGTCATTGCAGCCTATGACTTGTGACCAAGAAGATCATGGGCCATATCCCTCCCCTTGCTGTGGCTCATCAGAAGTGGATTCAGCAAAGTTGAGGCGAGAAAAACACAACATGACGTCTCTGACCTCGGGGCTTGGCTGATGTTGACGGGCTAGCAACCTGCGCTTTATCTTGGCACAATTGGGCTTTGAGCTACCCTGTCAAATATGTTTCCAATTTTGAGTCCAGGCCTGACAATGCAAATGCTGAACCCCTCTCTTTCTGTTTCGCCATCCAGTTGCCAAATCTCTTCTTCGTCCGTTGAGTATACCACGCTAAAAGTACATTTAATACGTTTGTACGCAACACAAACGCAACGAGATGCAATGTCGCTAGTGACAGTGGACAATAATACTAATTGATGTGGAACCCACTTGAAGAGCCACATGGTCTTCCAGTCCAGCCAGGTTCTATGTCTGCTGCACCGGGCAACTTCCCCCGCCTCGTTTTCATGTCGGCCGCCCCAGTTCTTTGCTGTATGCGTCGCTACCTTGGATGGCAGCGACGGCGGCTTTACACACCAGTTCTGTGGGGCCAGGAATGCAATCCAACTCTGAACTCACAGTACAATGCACCATGCTAGTTATTTGGCTGTGACTCAAAAACATGTAATGGAACCAAATATATGCAATGGAACCAACGACTACACCCTGCATAACCCTGCCTCTTTAATTTTGAGCCACCCCCATTTATGAATGCGAGGGCGCAACATGTCTTAGATCACCGGGCGAGCAAGATGAGCGTGTGGGCGTGCCATCTCATCCCAGCTTCTCAGGCTTCTACCCCCCACGTCCGCATGAACAGCAGCATGAACGCGTTCCGCACCCAAACTGACAAGTTCACTCCAAAGTATTTCACAAAGAGCCAGACAAGCTCGCACGTTCCAGTTTGCAACAACCAACCTTGAAACAACTAAGCCAATCACAAGGCAAACACACAACTGGCTGTGGCTCAAAAAACCAGTACCAAAATGGAGCCCTGGTAAGTGGAAACATGGACCAAAATCTGCGTAACCCCTCCTGTTTAATTTTGAGCCACACCCAACTCACAGAAGCACTGAACCCCACCGGTGAAGCTCCGCTCCAATTTGGGGAGCCATGGCAGCCCTCTGAATCGGAACTTCCGCGCCCGAGGCCACAGCTTCCACTCGACATCTAGGCAGCTGCTTGCCCTGGCGTGGCTCCAGTCAGCCGAACTCACGAACTCACGACAGCGCGGTAGACACCAATTCCGGGCAGCGATTTTGCTCGAACCAAAAAACAACTTTGGTTTAGTACGGGGAGCAAACGGTTTGAAAAAAGTGAAAGGTTGAACATCCAACCCAGTAGCAGCCAATAAGTCAAATCTCAAGCAATCTGCGAGCGACAGGACCCAACCATGAAAACAATATGAACACCTTCACACTTTGGCCCCGACGGCCGGAGGTATTGGGAACTCCGAGCATTCGGAACTTTAAGGGAACTCGCTGCCTGAAACCTAACCCCGAATCCCCCCCCCGGGCTCAATCCAACGGCTTTGCGAGTCAAGGATCAACATGGGGTTCCTGGTTGTCAATCAATATTCGAGTCGGGCTTCACCCATCCCAACTGGTACGTTTTGTGGATTTTGGTCCATCCCTGGCCCACATCTGGTTTACACAGCAAACAACATTACTAGAGTGTGCTCCGTCTATCAGAAAAAAAAATGGGATCGGAGACCCCAGTTTGCCAGTTTAAACATATTTAAGGACATAGACACACATCCATTTAATCACAAGTATGAATACTATATATATATATATTGTCGTATATAAACTCGGCCAGACTGGAAGGAGTATGTATCAACATGTCAGCATATCACAAAAAAAATGTTGGGCTTCCCGAACTGAAAGTCCAAAGATTGAAGACCCCAAAACGGCAAGTAGGACCCAAACCAGGGCTGGGGGGCGCTCTGCAATTGAACCCAAACAAAAGGGACCCTGGAATGGGGGTGACCATGACCCTACCATGCAACAGCCTTCGACCCCTGAGGCTGATCATTCGGCTTCCCTGTGAATTCGACCAGTTGCACCTAAGCTTCTCCTGCAATTGGGATTGGATCTATTTCTGAAACCGAGGAAACCCTCACAACACTGAGAAGGACCACGTCTGTCCGACCAATTTCCAGGCCACTCCAAGACCCTCCAAAAACGCCGCCCGCCTCAATCCCAGTGAGCCCAGGACTCGACGCTGAGAGGAGTGGAGCTTCCGCCTGGCGAGCTCAAGCAATGCTGGGGGCCGTCTTCTTTGCGAGATTTTCTAGGGGTACCTTCCCCATTCCTTGGGAAAGGATCCTCCCAACCGTTTTTATATGTGCGGGGATCCGGCCTTTTAACTCTTTGCCATCGGTTTCGGGTAGACCCTTTTAGTAGGTGGATACAACTCGAGGGGGAAATGGGCTTGCCTCAAAACTCCGGACCCCCCCAAAAAACTAAATAAAACACAAATAAAGCAACCAACCCGTGGTGCTCTTTGGGTTTCCGCTGTAAAGCGCCCAAAGAGGCATACACTCGAGAAACACTCAAAGCAGCAACCGCCAAACACTCAAGACAGGCAGACTGGCAAACGGCCAAAACAGGCATACATCTAGGGGTTGATTCCCCATTCATTTCAACCATCGTTCTTTTCAAAAATCAACTGTTTCTCCAGGGTGTTTGATGGTTTCCTGAAAAGAAGGACCGGGTTCTGACTGTGGTTCCCTCAAACATCACCCCAAAGGGACATCTCCCACAAGGGTGTCTTGCGATTGTGGCAGGTCACGACGCAAGCAAGGGGATATTTTGAGGTGGACGAGTCTGTTTCATATCTAGACTACCAAACAATGCGAAACAGTTGCGGTTGGAGACCGCACTTAAGTAGAACCTGAAACATTTCTCAAGGTCGCGAAAAGCGATCCTTCTCATCCCCCAAATGGGATCTGAGTCACTGTCAAAGGGTGAGAAGTGGGGACAGCTTCTGGGACTCCTTCATCTGTTCCGCCACTTGCATGAAACCGAGAACAGAACGATGCATTCAGATTCTGGGCTGGGATGGCCAACAACTTTCCAATTGTTGGCATGACGGCAAAACGTTGCCTTTTGCACCCACAAAAATAAGGAGAAGCAAACAACTCACTCGCTAGAACACATGCATTGACAGTGAAGATGAGACAAAGAAAGCTGGTCTTCGTACAGTGTGTCGTACAGGCTCCGCTCAGGTTCCCATTGACGTTCGCTTAACACCTACGTGGTTTTCACGGTTTTTACATTCTCTCTATCACCCCCCCCTATACAACCAAGTAACCAAACCCACTAAAAGGATGCCAGGGATGGGCTTTGGGCGCTGCTTGGATAATTTACAGGGCCAAACATTGAGATCGCCAAGAAGGGCTTCAGAGATCTTGGACAACCACTGCATTCGTTTTGAGATGGAATGTGGGAAGCGGACAAGGATCCCCGTATCCTCCAAGGGTATGTTCACCCCTGACTCAGACAGGTGGGGTTTACCATGAATACGAGGTTTGTTCACAATACCAGCAAAAATACGCGAGATTTCGAGTTGCCTTGCGAGCCCCAAAAAATGCCATGCCTTCCAAAATGCGGAGAACCCATGAACTGGGTGGCTACTTCATGGAGGGAAAAGGCACATTGCTGGGAATGTCAAAATAGGGTGCGCTTTTCTCAGTTTCCCATTCGGGACCCAAATATGAAAGGGTATCACCTTTTGGGCTCATGACCAAGCAGCCACCAAGGGGAAACCCGACTTGGTCAGAGTGTCCCAGCCTTTTGCTTCCCAACCCCGAAAACTGACTAAAGTGAGACCCAATACCTAAGACCAAATAGGGGAAAAATCAGAAATATTCTTACGCAGCTCGGTTGCCTTTGCTCCCCAAAAACATCCATTTTGGTGCAACAGGTGCCCAGAAAACCCAGTTTGTCCCATGGAACCCCCCAAAATGGGCTTTGATTTCCCGAAAGAAAACGGCCACCCACAGCAGCGGCGCCCGGATTTTCTTCGGCCTCTGGGACCGCAGCAGGCTTCGCCGCCCGACGGCCCACCACGAACCTGAGCGGCTGAGTGGCAAACCCAGGGGCTGCCGAGTTGGTTTCGCAAAATGCCCAGAACCTCCACCTACTGATGGAAGACATCCATTTCGCACCACCTAAGAAACCCTGCAATTCTGAATCCCCTGTAAATGTCAATAGACAAAGCATTCCCATGGTTTCCAAGTGGTGCAGGATTTTGTCCATCCACAGTACGAGTAGTAAACTGGCCCGAAATACATCTAAAAACCAGAACAAACGATCACAAAGTATCATCGCGCCAGGGTTTCGCACTTCACATTCCCCAGCTGACACACGATTTGAGGAACTCCCTTCAGAATAGCTAGTTTTGACTCAGAATCAGCGCATGGACCCTCACTCACAATTGTTTTTGACAGGTTTTGGCTCTCATCAGGCACACACACCCTTGGATTTCAACACTTACCCGTTATTCAGGGTCTGGGCATGTCTGGGCCCTGATTCCCACTAGGTTTGCGTGGATCGCAACCCGACCTGCATTCAAGAAACAATGGCCACCTCCTTCAGGTTTGTCGTTCTTTTCTATCTAAACATCTCTAAAAAATCAACCCTTGCCCCTGGCAACAAGGCACCAATAAAGCTAAGCTGATTCCCACTGACTCCAAAGATCTCTGATCCCTTTTGCCTTTCAGGGGCACGATCCATCAGTTGGGCTCATCGTAAATGTGATTCCCATTCTCTCTGCAGATGCTAGTTGGTCATTTAATTACTTATTAAATATCCCTAGGAGCTTAAAACATCAACCCTTGATCCAGGCGACCCCCAAAAATATCCAATCCCTCTTTCTTTATATTCATGCAAACGGGGTCTTTTGTCTTGTCCGCCCGCCTTGAAACCATTCGAACTGCTCGGGCTTCACCTGGCGAACAGGATCCGGGACCGACACATCGACACATCGACCATGCAGTTGCTGGAAATCCATTCTACCAGGCGGGTGCCGGTGGACCGCCGAAAAGGGCTTCCTTTTGGCTCCCCTTTAGCACAACCCTGGAGCTTTTTTACACTTTTTGAGAAACTCAGGTCCTGAGGGTCCAATGCGGCTGCCTCAAACTGTTTTCAGGGCCCTTGATGAATTGATCGCGATGGGTTCTCCATTGCCCTCTGCATTGGAGAGGTCACCCGGCTGGGTATATCTTGCAGAACACAGGTAAGTGTCAACTAAACTTGGGCACTTCACAAGCCTAGTTTGATCTCTGCTTTTCATAAAGGAAAAGTAGTGGTGACTGATCTTTGACTTTTGAGAGGAACCAAACAATGCAAATATCATGCGCAAACTGCAACTCAAACTGCTATCAACCTCAGAAACGAGGTAGGAACCGAACCACCCGCTTAAATAGCCAACAGGAATCGGTTCTGGGCGTGGCTGAAATAAATATGGGCGTCCCGTTTTTGGTATCCCCAGTCAAGTTTTTAAGCACGTATTGCCGGCAGGGTCTAGAAAGGGGCGATATGTTTGACAAACCCAATGGATCGACAAAAGAAAGTCCGAGAAACCGAGAAACAATCCACCGAGAACCATCAGCCTTGCAGAACCGCTAGGGCCCGCCCAAAAATGGGGACCCAAGAATGGCTGGATTCTTCTGGTATTCTTCTTTACCACTTTAAGGGGGTTCCCAAAATCTACCCATAGCCACGGTATCCAAGCAGATCCCTCACGTAGCCAGTTTCGAGCTTGCACGCCCATTGAAAAGTAAGTCATGTGCTGGTGGATCCCAGTTCAGCCATTTTGTCTTTGGTTCCAGTGTGGATCCCTTGGCTGAGGGAAAAGAAGTGAGTGGTCAAGGGAAACCACATCACCAGGACGCATCCTTGTTTCATCTGCACACGTGGAACCAAAAAAGGAGGGCTGCGACAGAAAACTTTAAAACGGGTCCCCATGCCAACAGAATTGAGCCATCTCCCCTGCTAGGGGAGCAGGGCTTAGCTGCTTAAACCAACTTCGCCCACCTCTCATTTCCGGTCAGCCAACCGTGACCACGATGTACAGCAAGTGCCCGATTCAGGGCTGGTTGCTTAAACTGGGCCACAGTCGGTTATCCATTGTGTCCACCAATGACATTGGTTTTCAGTGCGTAACCCCATCTCCCGATGTTTATCTGGGTGTCTTTTGTTCGCGGGCCCCCTCAAAATGGTTGTTTTTCCTTCAAAGCCACAAAAAAGGGGTACCCTCAAAAAAGTCGAGCAACCCATTTCCCAATGGTATCTAGTGAGCCTGACCTATCCCATTTACCACAGCAAACGTTAAGCGTCTGACCGTTGATTACATCCTGCACAAGCGCGACAGTATAACCTTTTTCCGGAAATATTGGAAGCCGCACATGTTCCGACCAAAAGTTACAAGTTGAATTAAGCCCCCCCCCCCCCCCGAAGAAAAACAAAAAAAAAAACAGAAAACAAAACACAACAAACAAAAAACAGGTTCAATGACAAGAGTCAAAGCTCTCCCTGCTGGCACGAGTCAAAGGTTCAAGATCCAACCCTCATGTGGCTTAAGTCCCTGGACAAGAATAACGAATTCCGGTATAGAGATAGATTCCGTTTAAAATCGACAAGGAGAACCAGCAAACATTCTTTAGCAAATGGTCAGCCTCCCCCTAATTGGTGCTTTAAATTGGCGGTTGAGTGATTGGGGATGGTTTTGCATTAACCCTCTGCAAGAACCAAGGATTGAGCTCCAAATCCAAAACCACCGGGCTCCAAAGCACCAACTAAGGGTTTCCTCACACTTCATGGGTGAGGTCCAAACCAATCCAAACCAATCCAACCCAAACCGATCCAAACCCAAATCCAAATCCAAACCAATCTGGAAAAAAAGGGCATCCTTTGTTGGTTGGTTGACTTTAAAGGGGGACCCTTCCCAAAAAAAAACAACAAGGGCACCCCAAACTTCTCTCAGCGCTCGCCTGCGCGCCATGCAGAGTCGAGGCCGCTGGGCCCGTTGAAGCCCTTGCGAGGCGGCGAACGGTAATTTGTTTGTGGACCCGTGGATTTCCTGAACTGGACCTTTGGGTTTCTATTGACACACACAATGCAGTGCGTGTATGTGTTTGTTGTGCTGTTTCATCGTCTTTATTGTTGCTTCTTTAAAAACAGAAAAGACAAAACAACACATTGTTTCTTGGTTGCTTCAAAAAAAAGGACGCCCCTCAAGGTATCTTTGGCTGGGTTTTAAAGAGCTCGATTGGGAAGTGTCTCTCTCCGAAGGTACTGCCATTGGACCTGTTTTGCTAGAATGAAGAACAACCGAAAGGCAAAAGGTTGACAAGGTAAGCCTTTCGTTTGCCTTTCATGGGCTTCGACCTCACTCGGTTGCCTACCAAGGACTTTCTGCTTTCTGATTTCTCTTAGAGTCGCCTTCCCATTTCCCACATGGGCCCCTCTATTGGCCACCTAACGTCACACTGGGATTCAAAACCGCCATGGGACAAATGGGGGGGGTTAACGTAACCACCATTGCTTGCCGTTCACGAGTTCACATCTTGGCCATTCTTTCAATGTGGGACGCACCCCTAGGGCCCGAGGGTCACCCGACAAGTGGACTGGCCTCAAAAGCTGATCTCTGGAGGATTCTCAGGTACGCATGGGGAGGTACTCTACGAGAGTTCTCCCCAGATTCCTTGGTAGAGGGTAAGGCCGTTAGAGGCTTACCTTCTGGGAATACCTCCCTGGCGGTAGGAAATTCCCCTGTCATTATCAGGTTACCGTTGGGGTAGCAATTTGCCAATTTGCCAGTATGGTGCATGGCAGCGTGATCAACAGAGTGCTCACCCAAGCCGAAGTTTCAGGAAAGTGACCCCTTGATCTTTCCAATCTCATTCTCCGCGGAAGACGACCAGTTCAACTCACTGTAACTTGGATGCCTAGAAACTAGTTAAAGCTTAAAGCAGGCTGAATCAAAAGGCCCCCCTCGGGCCCCCCCTTCTGCTCCCCAAAAGAAATGCAACTACAACTTGGAGATCCGTCGTTTTGGCACTTTTTCAGCTTGGGCATGTGTCAAATTGGGACTCCCCAAGATGGCTGCCTCAAAAAAGAGACACTTAAAGGATACGGGGGTGGCTTCCAATGTAGCTCCAGCGGGGAAGCCAAAAGAAAACCAAACCAAATTTCCATCCTTTTGGATGGTCCACAAAAAAAGGGAGGGGGGGGGGGGGGAAACAACTGATATTCTCCTTGTCATCTCTGACCCTCAGGCTTGGGACAGCCCTGCGAGTGGGTGAACATGAGCATTCGGGTCCATCCCCGGCCGGCCTATGCCCCTCGTTCCCGTGCGCACGGCAATGACCGCGGCTTGTGCCAGAGCGGCAACAGTCAGAGATAGCCGAGTGCTGGGCATACATTTGTTTCACAGAGCTCGCTATATTTCCCCTCAAACCATCACCCCTACCAAAGGAAACTGTAAGGTGCAAAAGTGATCCATGGGTTCAGATCTGGCACCAATCTATGGCCGCCCGAACTGACAAAGGGGTCGAATTCATGAAACACACGCTCAGCTAGTGGCTTTGTTGGCAAGAAAAACAACTCTTTCTTGGACACCTTCTCCCTCTCACTCGCTCTCTTTCTCTCTCTATCTCTCTCTATTTCCCTCTTCTGGTTGCTTTGTTGTTAGTGCCCACTTAGCCTTTTGCCCATTTTGCCTAGTCATGAGACCCCCTCCAAAGGCCACAGCACTGGTCTGGTCTGCGGCTCGACTCTCGCCCTTTTGGCTCGGAGCGAGCGCTCGCGTCCGAGAATCTGCCACCTGGCAGGGGGCGATTCGGGGGTTCGTCATTCACACAACCCCTCTTAAAGAAACCAGTGGCTGAACATTTTATAGCTTCCCTGTGGATGGCTTCCCTTTAAAGGGGGGTTAATCATTGTTCTTATAACTTCCTTTCAAAGGGAAGCAGTGGCTGGCTGAACATTTTAACAAGACTCATAGCGCCCGGAAGCTGAAACAACCACACGGAAAGAACTTGCAGTTGAAAGCATCGCCAAAGTCACTTTGGACCCTTCAAAAAACGGAGTCCAACCTCTAACCCTTGTTTTACAATGGTCCTCAAACCACTCCCCCCGGGTGCCGGGACTTACTGAGCATACAGCCCCTATATAGCCGATAATATAGCCACTTTATGAAGGGCGTAGAATGCCATGCTTTGCCCTGGGGATAGTGGTTTGGGGGCAGTAGAAATTGTCTTGGATTTGTGTTTGACAATCCAGGTTGGAGCCAACACTGTCTATTGCCTCTGCAAAAAAAAGCGGCCGATGCAAACTCCCTCAATATAATCTCAACTCCGCAGTAATTTATCCGGAGGACCCTACTAATCAAACAAATCAACAAACACTCATTTCACTACTAATCAAACTCATTTACATCATTTCACCAAAAATCACAAATCAACTTGGCAACGCCGGATTCGTCGCGCCACGAAGCGACAGAAGCCGCAAGCTATCCGAGCCTCAGCAGGTGCCACCCGTGCCAGCACCCGCCTTAGAGACCACCGAGCTGGGCGGGAAGTGGATGAACAGCTCACACGGATTCGTTGATCCCTTGCAGAGCCCTCATCCTAGTGGGCGGCAAATCTGCAAATAGGAAAAAAGGCCCCCTCTGGTTGATCTCCTCTTTCCCTTTCAATACCCAAAAGAAGGTGGATGGTTCCTTGATCCCCTTCTGAAAGCCAAACTTTAGTCTAAGATGGCCGGAACTGCCAAGATGTATACGGCCCGCTCCAATTCACCTACTCCCACGGATGATCTGTGAAACAGGTAACTGGAAACCATGAGGCGCTTCCAACTTGTGTATCATCGGTGGAGTCTACAGCCCGCAACTTGCCAAGATCTCGTTGTAATGCAGCTTCTTTGGTCGAGAATGCCCCTTTTTGTGCCGGTGTGCGGGTGTGTGTGTGTGTGTGTCGAAACGGGCGAAGGGAATTTCAAAGCAATCCCCAAAAGGCTCCCTTTGGCGCATCTACACAGGAGTTCATTTCAATGTACTCCAATGACTGAAACCTGCACCCACACGTCCACTTGGTCGAAGCGACATTTCTGCAACGCATGCGGCCGACGTCCGAAACGCGAGGCTGAGATCGGTGCAGTGCTGCCGTAGTCCTGTGACCACTTGGGCGAAAGTAGATGTCAAAAGTTCCCAATTTGAGCTTCATGCCAACTATGCTGTGACATTACGAAGCCAAGTAGCAGAACCACCCAACAACCGGGTATGCTTAAGTAGGGAGTTGAACCCCCAACATGGGGGCTGTCCTTTCGGGCTTCCTATAACCCAAAAATGGTACCCCTAGACAAACACACACTCGCAAATGAGTCATCAAAACCTACCAATGGGTTCTACCCAAAAGCATATGAATAATCAACAGGGCTTCCGCACATTTTTTGGACTGCAACCGTCCATTCCTACCCTTCACTTACCTAGATTTTGAGCGTGGTCCCAATGGCCAATGGGTTCAAATGCCCAAACCATCAAGTAAGGGGTGACTAAAAACAGGATACCCACAAAACTTGGCCCACATCTGGGGTACACAGAAAATAATACATGGAACAGAGTCTGCCAATCACCAAACCACTAATAACCACTAAGGGTTGCCTCCAAAAGGGTAACGTTGACACCGGATTAATCAACCTTGGGGTGATGGTTCCCCACACTTAGGGACATCCTATGCATGAAATTCATGAATCCGGGGACAATCAACATTACCCTGAAAAAAGACACCCACACACACACACACCATATTTAGCCATAGGGACAAACTATTCGTAATATCTTGAACCCTGATGTTTGCCTTAGCACCAATGGCCACGCCCTACCCAAAAAAAACACACACAGACCCACATCCACAGACCCAAACTATGGATAAACTACTACTTGGTAACTTGTTACAACCCTTGTTGCTACCCTTCACACCCACAGACCCACACCCAAATCCAAATGGCCATGGGTTGAAACTCCCGTACCCCCAGTGAACATCCCAATCCCCACCAAAATAGGTTCTAAAAATGGGTGGTGCACCGAAAACCCTCAAATGTGATCCCATTGGTTTTGACCCACAGCCCCAAATGGCCCCGCCCCGCCCTCCCGCCCCAGTCCTGCCAGTCCCTTCGCTCGGCGGTGGCCGCGAGCGCCGCCCGGATCTGCGCGGCCGCCGCATGGGCGCGCCCGCTGAGCGGAACGCCCCGGTCCTCGCGGCTCCCGGGCGGTCGCGGGCGGTGGCTGGGGCTGCGTTGGCGCGAGGCTCGGTGGCCGTCTTGGGGGGCCAAACACCCCCCAAACCAGTACTAGGTCTTGCAGTAGAGAGAGTTTAGAATAAGGGTGCCCGATGTTTTTCTTCTGTAGTCTATTTGAGTAGGGGAACCCTCCCCCACAAAAAGGGGAGAGAAGGGCCCCACTGGGGGACCTAGAACCCAAAGGTTGCAACCCCTGGGCCACGTTCTTTGAAGTCTCTTTGTGGCTTAGGTGGCTTTGGAGGGAAATCAAAAGCAACAAAAATGCAATTTGTGTGCTGGCACAAACTCCTGTGAACTGGGATTTTTCAACACCTGGCAGCTGGTGCGAAACGGATTCTATCTATCCACAGCATCTGTCATTTTTGGAAATTCCAGGGACTAAGAGACTCGGACCCAGAGCTCCAGAGCTCATAGGGCTGCCATGAACTGGGTCTCCGATCCCGTTTTACGATGATATATGTCAGGGCAGAGCAGCTAGGCAGCTAGGCTGGTACAGCTATGAGACAGAATCAGAAAAACTGTGCTGCCCCCCCCCCCCTTTGCCGGCTTTTTGACAGAACAGACCCTTTTCACACCCCTTTTGATGTGAAAGTTGCCAGTACTGTAGCCGGCACCCAAAGCCGCTGTGCTTTCCACTTCTGGCTTCCAAAAAATAGACATGGGAGATTGGGTCTGGAGGCCTTCGTGTGGGTCTTTGAATGCCAGCAGCTTGGGTCTTGAGGTACTTCGGCCAGGTCTCTCTCTCGGATCTTGGCATTACCCAAGTACAGAGCGGGGATCTCGAAGGCAAGTGGATCAAGTCCCCCTGCTCCTGACCGCCAGGCTGCCAGGTAGGATGCGCGCCGTGGAAAAAGCGCGCCGGCCCCAAAGAAGGAGACGTTCGAACCCAAAACCGTAGAAAAAGGGGGGAGGAGGGGCAAAGGTTCATCTACTTACCCAGGTTCTTGCTGTGGCGCAAATGACATTCTCCAAAAGCAATCTGAGTCAGAATCAAACTATCCTAAGTAAAATGCTCTGGATTCCCGCACCTGCTTGTGGTTGCGACCATCCCCATACTACCCAAGTACCCGGGTTTTGATTGTGGCTGAAGTGGAGGAGGCTCGCCTTCCAAAATCCTATGATCCTCAGAGAGGGAAAACAAAAAGGGCACCAGGACCATTTGATTCTGTACGAGCCACGGTCATAATTGATTGTGTTAACAAGAGGACGTGGAAAAAACGGACTCTCTGGTTTTGGTGGGAAAGTTAGAGCTCGTCCCCCCCATGTCCTTCCCAAATTGACATAAGACCACCAGTGACTTGGACAGCAGCTCTTCTGGCGGAATAAAACACCGACAACCACATGGACATCCGCCAACAGCCTCGGGCTTCTTGAAAAGCCAAATGGTGAAAAAGAACGGGGAACCAACCCTTCAAACAAAAAACGGGCCAGTTTCGATGGATTGTCTGATCCTGCGGAAAGCGTCCTGCCTCCCGAGGAAAGAGCAGCACGAAGACCCCGCAAATCAGCTGGATGACCAAGCAGAAGAGCGTCCTTGGGTGCCATCAGACTGGTTTGCTCGTTAAATGTCCTACAGGGGCCGGGGTGGATCCACAAAAGTCGCATCTTAGCCGGTCTTTGGAGCAATATCTGGGACAATGGTCTGGGGATGTCATAATGCGAGGAAAACTACAGGCAGGGTGTAAACCTCAGAATCCGTGAACTCACAATATTTGGGACTTGAGTTTGGGGGGCATTGGAATCCTTTTCGGAAGCCTTTCGGGTCGAGTGAATTGGCCAACTTTGCAACCCATGAATTCTCGTCAATCACCAGACATGTTCGGAAAAAATGGGAGCAGTAAACATGAGGATAATGGTCCACTAACCTCCTGGCAAAACCAGGCTGCTTGCTCCCTCTCGAGATCTGACCACTTTCATTCAAACCCAGGCCCGTTCTTAACCTCCTCTGGGCCAAAAAGCCTAATAACTTTGTGCTTACCACTAAAAATGATACCGCTAAAACTGATCCCAAAAACTGACAAAAGTCCAGAAGCTGAGGATGTCTTAGCCTTTCAACTGTAGATCTCGACTCCCAATCCCACGTCCGTCGATAGAAATTCGAGGCACGGTAGCAGGATCCACACGTCCCAAAGCATCACCCCGCAGCTGACCCACAGCACCGAGGACCCGATGCTCACCACGAGCCTCGGAATTCCGATCCAGGGCGATTTTCGGGTTTTAGAATTGAAGCTGCACGATAGTTGTTGGTTTAACTAGGTCCTCCAGTAGAGAGGTTTCAATAAGGGTACCCGATTCTTGTTCTGTAGTCTATTGTAGTAGGGGAACTCTCCCCCCAAAAAGGCGAGAGAAGGGCACCACTGGGGGACCTAGGCACGATTGTTGTTGGTTTAAGATCCTACAGGACCGTATGAAATCTCCGAAGGGATCCTATAAGTTGGCAAGTCTGTGTGTGTGTGTGTGTGCACGGGTCCTATTGGCCTCGGCCGAACCTGAATAAAAATCCCAGGTGGTGACCGAACATGTCGAAACGGCATTGGAACCGCGTCTTTTCTGGGCTGATGATTTGGAATGGGAAACGGTGGAATCCACCGAAAAACTGGGAAGTGATTCACCAAACAGGACCTGGACAAATTGAGGGTTCCGCAACAGGACCTAGAAAAATGGGGGGGCGGGGGAGTGGGCGGGCACCAACAAAACTACAACATACTCCTTGGAATCAGCACAGTCAAGCAAGGGACTACTGCCGCAAATCAATCTGGAACCCTAACAAACACATCTGTTTTAAAAGCAAACTCCTCTGCCTATCGGTTCTGGGCGCTTGACTAATCAACAACTGGTGCCAAAGTGGCCGCAAAATCATGGCTACTAGCGACCCCTACTGCCGTGGTTTTGATGACTCACAGCAGGCGGCCTGACAGCTTCAATCCTTGTCCCATGCAAAGTAGGATTCCCATCCCCATGACAAATTTATCACTGACGGGGTTCTGTTGGCCACAGAAATTGGTCATTTGGGTATGTGTCAAATTAGGTACTCCACACAAAATGGATGGTTTCATGTTCGTTTCCCTTAAACAAACAAAATAAGACTGGTACCACCAATCGAACACACACACACACACACAAGCGGCTTCACACCACGACTTCAGGTCTCTGGGTGGTCGCCGGGCAGCAGCTCCAGGTTGATGGAGGCGGAGCATTGCGTCTTGATCACCTGCCGACTTGGATTGCCCAGCCGAAACCACAGCGGCAAACGCCCCACCAAAAAACGTAACTTGTGTTTTGGGCGGTTGGGGAAAACCAAAAGGAGGTTGATGTGGCGGTTTGGTGTTGGTTTGTGTTTGCGTTTGTTGGCTGTTTTTTGTCCGTATGTTCGACCAAAAGAATAAAGATGACGTTGGAAGGGGAGCAAATATTTACGTGTTTAGCAGCTAAGTAAGTGGGGATTTCACACTAAACCGCAATAAGCAAAAATGTAAAATGTCCCAACAACAATCATGTTATACTCAAGCACCTACTCGAAGCCCAGCGACTTAAAGCGGAATCACATCGCTCGAAGGCACCTGTGCTTCAACCAGCAAGTTATGAATTTCTCAGGCTAAGCAAGAGAAGTTAATTTGGGCATGTGTGAAAATAGGGGGCCGCAAACAAAGGTGATTGTCTTTTCCTGTCTAGGCAAGGTGAAAAGGGTGCCCTCGAAAAACCGTGCACCCGTTTCCCAACGGGGCAGTTGCGTACTCCTTTTGCGTGGTCAAATGGCCATGGGTCAAAATCCCGTAGCCCCAGTGAACATCCCAATCCCCACTAAAATAGACTAAACTGGGTGGTGCACCTAGCCCAAAATGGCACCATTGGTTTTGACCCACAGCGGGAACATCCCCGACATCCCATACTGCCCCGCCCAGGTCCTCCCCAAAACGAACCATAGACTTCTATGCTGTGGATGGACGAAATCCATTTCGCACCACCTAAGACACCCTGAAATGATGATTCCCCTAAACACACCTATAAGCAACGGTTTCCCATTGCTTCAATTCGGAGCAGGAGTTTGTCCATCCACTGTATGTGTCTTCGCTATGAATTTCAATAGGGGACCACCTCCAAAGTGGCCTGAGGGCATGACCCCCCACCTAAGTGGTGTCTACCAGCAGGTCTCACTCCTCTAGACAACAACTAGGCTGAGAAACAAAGCATCGCAATGCGAGCTTGGTGGGATGCATGGCTTTCTTGTGCAGCTCTCTCATGCAGCTTTCTGGGAACCAAAAGGTTCACTGCCGCGAAATCACGTCATCATCGGGTCGTGTTTTCAGGCTGATTGAACGTGTCAACTGTCCAAGATGTCGGGAGGAGGCGGGAAGCAGTTTGGGTGATTACGACATTCAGTCGCCAGGTCCCCCAGGTGCGCGAAACCGTCGCCTTCGGGAGAGTGGAGCACAGGGAAAAGGCCCCGATAATGCCTTGGCTAAATTCGCATCATCCGACGCAAATAATCACGGCTTCAGATTCTGGCCTATGTCCAGTCTGCCACAAAAAAAAAGAGGAGCATATTTGTTCGAAGACCAACATGCAATAAGACCCCCCAAGATATCACATCATTTTGGAGACGATCAGGATGGATTCGTTCAATCGGTTTGGGGTAAAAGCCTGGAAAGTGAGTCTTCTTTGAACCGATATGAGGGGCAAGATGGATGGACCCTCTGCAAGGAAGTTTAAGGAATACCGACCATCCGATCCTTTTGGGCAACACCCATCACCCCAAGCGACGCTCCTGGCAATACTTTGACGCTTGGCCCGAAACTCAACATGAATTTTCAATGCCCCAAGAATCGTTGGCCCTGAAAAATGCGATTGAGGTCCAACAGTCCAACACCTCATGGCGATGCCTCGCCCCTGGAATCCCTAGAAAAAAGGAAGCTTCCCGATGTCATTAGGGCGCGGGTTTCTGCAGGCCTGTGATTTGTCCACCCACCCTTTTTTCGGGTCCCATTTTCGGAGGCCATTGAATGGAACTCAAAGGGACACCATAGGGTGCCCTCAAAAACCCTAGAATGCAACACCATCTCCTAGTGTCCTCCAAATAAGACCATAAGGCCTTAACAAGGCCTTATTTCTGCGTACATTGAAAATGACATCACCAACAAAACACTCTAAATGGTGGCTTTAAGGACAATCACCCCTAAAAGAACTCTGCAAACCCTGAACGTGCTCAGTTTATATAAGGGATCCCGCTACAGTAAATGGGTCTTCTGAAAAACAGTAACAGGGCGAGGGCGGTTGGGATTGGATGCGAGAGAAGAAGGGCTCGCTTCGAACTCGCCCCACTTTTAACCATCATCAAAGTCAACCTGTTGGTAGGTTAAAGGGAAATGACCCCAGTTCTGACGTTGACCAGAGATGTTCAAACTACAGGGGACACTGGATTTCCCCTGAAAGATTATTGGTACAAAAAAGAAAAGGGGCCATGCGCCCAGTCAAGTGGGCGACTCGATCGCCCGCCCGTCTTTCGAATCCAAGTCACTGGATAGCGAGGACATGAGCCCGCTGAGAAACAGCGCGCTGCCGCTGGTCAGGAACAGAATGGCCTGACGCCATTTTCGGGGCGAGAAACTTAGACCTGCAAGACAGATTCCTTGGCTGAGGGAACATGCCAGAACAAAAACAGAAGGCAAAACAAAGGGAAGCAAGAAAGGGAAGCAAGCATCGTGTGTTCCTGTTTGTATCGCTTGATTGGAATGAACAAACCAGGAGGCAAAAAGCAGAAAGGGAAAGCCAAGTCTGCATCTACAGTCCTCAAAGTGGGCGTTTCAGTACAAACAAAACAACAACACAATCAACAAAAGCGAGCCCCTCCAAGCCCTTACAAGAAGGAGCTCCGCAGAAAGGGAAGCCAACGAAACGGCCTTAAAAGACAAAGAGCAATACTTCTTCACAACAACGACCCTCCCATAAAGGCACAAGGTTTATTTCAACCACAAAAAGGCGAAGAAACCAACCCCAAGTCACTAGTTGGTTGAAGGGCGAAAGGGAACTCAACATGGACAAACACGTGGGAGGCTCATTTCATGGAAATGGGAACCCCGGATTAATCACTCCCTGGTTGATTGCTTAGGGGCGTTGTCCCCTTTTTTGGGGGGATTCATCACTTTCGGCTATAAAAGAGACAGGCCTAGCTTGACCCTTTCCTTTATCATGGGGGCTGGGGACTTTAACGGGGAAAGGGATCCCATAGGAGAAACATCGAGAAAGCACGGCCAAGCTCCGTGTATTTGTCTGAGCCTCCCATGGAAACCCATAGGAACCCATAGGAGTGGAGACCTTCGGCTCAGGCCGTCCGAGCATATTCCCCCGAGGTAGGACATAAACTCAGGGTGAGTTGAAACGAGTCGCCCGCCACCTGGTACCACTAAGAGTCCTCTTAAAGGGTTTTTTTTAACAGTTGAGGAAGCTGACAGGGCGTTCGAGATGGAGATCTTGCCGTCCTGTCTCAGCCACACTATTGTTGGAAAGAAGGTACTTGTCCAAATCCCTGCCCAGTCCCCTTGTTGGAAAGTGGTTAAGGGCCCAAATCATCAGAACCCTTTGGGAAAGGAATGCGTTGCGAAGCCGCCTTTGGCCTCCCAAAGGTGGGATCCCAACTTCAATCCAGAATCCCTGATCCGTGATGGGTCACCTCTAAGGCAAACCACCATCTGGCATAAGGACAAAACAAGTCTTTGAACAACCCCCCAACAAATATGATGGTTGCAAAATGGCTTCAAAGTGTCCATCGGCGATTTCCCTTCTGACGTTTGATCCAACCTCCGTTTCACCCGCAACCATTTTGGGGGTCCAAATCCAAGAAAAAGACGCATCCCTGAACCGAACAAAGGAAATGCAGCGACCCGACTCGACTCGATTTGAATGTTCATAAAACTCTTTGAGTAACCTGTCCGGGTTGATTTTTGGGGAAAACCGTTTGGGGGGGGGGTCCGAAGGACCCGTGTCCAGTGGGTGCATCTGACTCCCCGCCAGCATCTGCAAGGAGACCATCAGCGCGGCCACTCGGAGGTAGAGCCGCAACTGCTCCAAGGCCTCACCCACGGCTGCGCGAGCTTGTCCCAGCCCCAGTGGCCAACCGAGAAAAACAGAAACACTCTCTTCTTGGTAGTTGATGTGCAAAGGAAACTCCCCTAGGGTCTCCAGTAGAGAGGTTAGAATAAGGGTACCCGTTTTTCTGTAGTGTATTGTAGTAGGGGAACCCTCCCCCCAAAAAAAGGGTAACAGGGTACTGGGGGACCAAGCCCCTCAACGAAACCAGGGAAAAAGGGCACCAATGGAGGTTTTGGCAAATATCAGGTCTAAACAATGGGAATGGTGTATCAGTATCGGATTCGGTACTGCTCAAACCTTGGTCATGAGAGGAGTAAACTATGAGCAATCATGTAGCCGCAGAAAACTAAGTCTATCAGAGTCTGGTGGGTTACTTTTGGGTGCCTTTTTGCGGGGCCCTGACAACCATGGCACATATGTCTGTGTGTCTTATAAGCGTGCCCGTTTGCAGGTAGGTTAAAAGAGAAACCAGAAAGGACAACACGGATTGCAAAAGAGCCAAATCTGCCAAAAATTGAACTATGAATGGAATTGGAGGGGTTTCTCACACACACACACACACCTGCGCAAGGCTGGAGGCCTTCTTGTCGCGGCAGTTCCTCTGGAAGCCCCAGATATAGTAGGAGCCCAACACGGCTCCGGTGATGTTGGCGTAGACCAACCTGGGTGCTGCTCAACATCGCGCCCCCAAGTGTGTGTGTGTGTGTGTGTGTGTTGATTTCTTTCAATCATGAAGTTGTCTCAAAATGGAGAATCCCCCAAACTCCCAATCTTGAATCATTCCCTTCTGGTGTCCCTTCACCGTCCAAGAACCATCCACTTGGATAAACTCGCGTCTTAAACCGTCCGTGGAGCCACCTCGACTCCCCATGCTTTCCGAGCGCTTTCACACACCAACTTCTCGATCTTCATGGCTGGTCTTCTTTTTGGGATGCCCCTTTTCTGAACAGGAAAACCGAAGCCCATTTTGGGAGGGTCCCCTGAAAGAAAGCACAAAAGGCGAGTCATGACCAAAACTTGAAATGAAAATGGTCTAGATAGTAAATACTTGGTAAAGAGTAAAACAATGGGCGGGTAGCTCTGTCCCAACTTCATCTCTCGATATTTGCTGCAAAAATGACATTTGGACTCTAGGGCAGGAAGACAGAAAGATCCCCCCAGGATTGAAGCATGGAACAAGGTGTAACCCCCCCCCCGTTACCCGCCATCCTTGCACTCTCGGCAATTTACCTCGAAAAGGGGCAGCTATGGCTTGGTCCAAGGTTGATCCAGACAACCCCCAAGCTCGGTCCAGGTCCCTCGACCCCGGCCGGGCTTCGGGGCGGAGTACGCAAAACACCAACTCCAAGCAACCAGTCCACGTGTTTTGGCAGCAGTCCTTGCCCCGCGCCCAGGTTGGGGCCATCAGGTCTTAGAGACCAGCCATAAGGGCAAATTCCTATGACAAAAATTGGTTGGTTCCCCACGATTCCGGGTGTGCAACTCTTCACAAACATCATCACCCGCACTACTCCAGTACCCTTTGAGCATAGTTTTTGAGCGTGAAGATCTGGGTTGCTCCAAGACCCGCTGAGCAAAAGACGTCGATCGCCTTTTGCAGGTAATGTAAAGGCCATTTCACTTCCAATTGCTCGGGGTGATGCGGTCACAGCCGTGAAATGGGCCCCTTGGTGTCGCCTTAGAAAGTACAAAGGGGCGTGGGCTAAAACGAACACGTGAAGGACACGAAAGGGACAAGCGGGGAAAAAGGCAAGTGGCATCTCCCAGTGCTTCCAGTTGCCATAGCACGTAATCAGTGAAAATCATCACGTAAAACGTACAGGTGAACAAAAACACCATGCTAAGGCTATACTTGTAGGATACGTCCACCTCTAAAGGGATCCCATCCAAGGATAGTGGGAACTGGAAGCACCGGGTGGCACTGATCGTCCGAGGCACACCAGAAAGCCGCTCTTCCCAGTCATGTAGAAGGCGAAGGTCCCATAGAAGACCCTCAGCGCGACAGAGGTTGTCGTCTACACCCCACTCCAAATAGCTGTTTTCTCTTCACAGTAAATACCACCTTTTAGAGTCAGGTACTAGGGGTTGATTCCTTTCTGCTTCGCTTCAATCATCAGTCTTTTTGAACAACGGCCATGTCCATTGTTGGTTTGATGGCTCGGAAGGAGGATTCTGGAAGGAATGGGGAAGGGATCCACCCAGAGGTATGAAGTGGGCATGGACCTTTTAGCATCGTTTCAAATCGACCCCCGGAAAGGAGTACCCACTCCGGAAAAAGAAAAAAAGGAAAAAGAGGACTCACACCCATGGGTGTGAATCTTATACATAGGTGTGAATCTTAAGACCCTATGAACACGTTTCGCAAAATTATATCCACCAACCATGCGGTGTTCCAACCAGCGACATTTGTTCTCAAGGTCCCGTTGGATGGGAATTCATGAAATTGGACGCCTCAGCAATGCCACCCAGTAATGCCCGAAATATTGCAAGATAGCCAAGCATACTCAATCACAAAACAACGGCACATCATGGCGAATTAGACACTTGGGTTGCTTGCCCCCTTACTTGCAAGATGGTAGGGGCGAAATGTGTTTGTCCCTTTGAAAGCCGTCCGAAATGTGAATCCCCAGCCACACCGAATAAACCGGCGCGCATAGCTGCATCTCCAAGTCTGCACGTGTCTCAAAATGGAGAACCCCCCCAAAACGGTCGGTATCCTTTCTCTTTACAAAGAAAGGAACAAACGCCAAGGCCAGACTCTCATGCACCTCCAATGGGGCGGCAAACCGAGGGGCTCCAGCTCTCAAACCAGAAAACGGTTGGGATGTGCTTTTGTGGATTTCACCGGGGTTTTCCCCTGTTGGTCCGTTTTTGGAAATCTTTTGGTACTCTTTTACTATTCTACAGCGGTGAACCCACAGATTCGCCACATTCAGACCGTTGGATATAGCCACGCCGCCTTGGAGAAATGGTCTCGTTTCCGCAAGGAAGCTATCCCAAAACGCCTTGAGGCGTGCTCATCGCTAGGCCAAAGCATCCATCCCGGTTTCAAGTTGTAGATACCAATTCTCAGGGATCCAGCAAGCAGAACATGAGAAAAACACAGATCAGAACATGGAGGGAAGGAAATCCTGCAATGTCCCAAGCGAATCATGGAGAGATCAAGCGATGGAATGTCAACACATTGTCAGCGTTCACAAGTTGAACAGGAGTGACCATCCTGACAGGAACATGTGCAGAAGCCTGTCTCCCCAAGGAAAGCTCTAGGCCACCGGTTGTGTTGCGGTGTCTTAAAGCTTTGAACATCGGGGGGGGGGGGGGGAGCAATACATGCCAAGTATGAGCCAATGTAAAGTATAGTGGTTCGTACTTGACATGTATGGCTACCCATATATTGAAGGGGATAAAGGGGGCCACACCAACGACCCCGAACATTTTGCTCGGATGTGGCTATGGGTGTGACCCCAGAATCGGTGAGATGAGCCAACATTCAGATCATGAATGGGCTAAGATTCACCCAACTCTGGGGTACGGCAACAAACATGTTGTCCGATTCTGTTGCACACTTGAACTTGAGTGTGTCTCAGCATAGGAGTTGGGACCCCCCAAAGAAAAACGGTGAAAAACGTAGTTTCCCCCTGATTTCCCGGCAAACACCAGCCCACACCCCGATTTCCCTCCAAAAACCCGCCCACAAGGGCATCCTTCGCCTCAAAAACAGAAAAGCCACCCAGTTAGCCACCCAAAGATATGAAGCAAAGCCTCGGCTGGAGGCCTCCCGTGGTGGAACATGGGAACCTTGTGACATCAGTCACCAATATGGGTGCGTCGTTCTTCTTTTAGGACCCCCAAAATGGCGTTGCTTGTTTTTGGTTTCCGTTTAAAACCACAAAACACGGGTAACATAAAAAAGAACTCCCCCCATGCGGGATTCCCATTCCCATGACTACTTGATCACTAAGACATTCCCTTTCGTATCACAGAACATGTGCCTAACCCCGCCATTTTTGCGCAACCCTACCTTGAACCAAAACTCGGAGAGTAACTTTGAGCCCATAAGTGGCCTTATAGAAAAATAGATGGCCCTGGTAAATGGAACAAAAACCATCTAAACCAGTGGAACCCATCTATTTTTCACCACGCTCACCGATCAAAAGGACACCTATGTTTGAGCATGTCGTTTGGATAGACGCGTCCCTTTTTCGCCCCAAGCTCCCATCGATGCCTTTTCTCTCGAGGCGCCACTGGGCCCCCGAGTAGAGGATGCTCATCAAGGGCGCCGCGTCCGCCTCCCCGGTGTCGTGGTTCTTGTGGAACTGCTGCACCTGGCCCATGGGAACAACTCTTCTCGGTTGCTTTCTGCTCCCGTGCTAAAAGTTTTTAACTTTTAGTGGTTTAGTGGAAAACCCATTAGTTGGCAAAAAGTTAAAGTCCTAACAGCCAAGCAAAATGCACCAAAGTATTCGAGTGCTACCTTCCATTTCCATTCTTTCCAGGGATCCTTCTTTTTAGAAAACCTCCGGAAACCCGGAGGTAAACGCCCGGTGTTCGAAAAGAACGACGCTTGGAAAGAATGGGAAATCAACCCTTACAGCTATGCTCACTTCCTGAGTGGATGGGCCAAAAAAAGGCTTGACTTTCTAGTTACCACTAAAATGGTCGTCCCAAAAAGCTTAAAAACATGAACTTAGGAAGTGAGTACGAGGCAAGCGGCCCCCATAGCACAAAACAAATGACTTTTGTAGCCACCCACGAAACAAGAACAGAACCAAACAACAAAAAACAGTTTAACATTCTACTGGCGAGTGGGGACAAACACACACAGACACACACACACATATACATTTTCCCACGGCGAGAGGTTAACGATCCAACCCAGCAGCCAGCAGGTGGAGAAACATACCCGCTGACATGTACACGACCACGTGTATTGTGTGTCCGTAATCTTCAATTACCTGGACCTTTTTAAGGGTATGATGTCAACCCTGACAAAAACAACATGTATTTACTGGATTGTTGACACGTATACGTTCAACAAATTGGGGTATTTGGAGTAGCGGGTACCCCAAATCCATCATACCTCAGCTTTTGCCAAAGTCGAATTAAGATGTTTGATTACATGGGTGTGGCTCAAAATTAAACAGGAGGGGTTACGCAGGTTTTGGTCCATGTTTCCACTTACCAGGGTTCCATTTTGGTAGCGGTTTTTTGAGCCACAGCCACATAGGTAAACCTGAATATGTATACTCATGAGGGAAACAAAAGGTGTTTTTCTTGCATTGGCTTGCCTTCGGGCTGAGCAAGCTTGTGATTTCGACGGTTGAAATGCATTTGGTTTCGAAACGAAAATCAAACACCGACGATGTGAGTTCGGTTTGAAAGCTTCTGTCCACAGCACGACACCCTGAAAAAGCGATCTGGTCATGGTAGGGTACGTGGTGAGACATGCGCAAAAATTTGGGGGCTGGGTGACCTTAAAAATGCCGGCTGTATTTTTGGGTCCCAAACAATACACACACCCAGGTATCTATCCAACTACAAAGGTAGTTCGAAGTGGCTAGCAAAATTACAACTCACCAGCTGAAGACAATGAGAAAGCACGAAAAAACAAAATAAACAACCCATCATCATAGTAAGGTTGCTCCCCTTGGCGAAGTTGCTGAAAAACAGCCCAGCTAAAATGTGTCCACCTTTTGCTTTTGCTCAACCTGCCAAACAAAGGGGTGTCAATTGCAGATACCAAACGCCATCGAAGTCTACACCTTTTGGGATGCCGACTTCGGGCCGAAGGACACCCCACATGTTGCGATGATAGCGGCTAAAAGCAAGACCGTTGTCATGAAGACATGCAATGTGGAAACTGCAAGTGCGACTTAATACATGGGGTACACACTGCATGCATCTTACAAAGGAACACGGCTGTTTGAAAACCTAACAAGAACCAGTTTCTCAACATGCCGCTGAGCTTCTAAATAAGTGAGCACGGACCGGCAGCCTGGAGGTATGGAGGTTATACACCGCATAAATTGTAGTATATTCCTGCATGCGCGGCAAAAGCTTGTATGGGTGGCATGCAATCATGCCTACCTTGAAAACCGATACCTGGACACCAGGAGGATCCCCGCCAATTGCAGAACAAACACTGATTCTGAGACACATGCTGCGATACAATAAACATTGCGCTTGATTTGCTTTGCCGTTGAAGCCTTGCTGCAAACAAAACACGGGGAGGGGAGGCTATCGTGCAACACCTTTGACTTTGAGTACAGCTGTTCTCTTTGCGGCATTCCTGGCCTTCACTGGCAATTTATGCAAACATCCATGTCAGAGACACTCCCCCACATTCCCAACGCCCTAGCTGAGCTTTTTTGACTCCATAAAGCATGGAGTGTGTGTGTGTGTGTGTCATGTTTCTTGCACAGGGAAAACAAGAGGAAAATAACCATGTTGGGCAGGTCCGCTAATTAAGAAGGCGACGTCGAGGTCCCTAAAACTGCTTCCACTGTCAAATCTAGTGTCAAGTTGTGTCTATTGACGTGAAGATGCTCTGCGCACTTGTAGACAAAAACAAACAAGCACAGGCACGTTGAGTCTCCAAACCTTTAAACATGTGGTTGTATGTGGTTGTATGTGGGGGGTTCTCCAAATTGAACGTATTTACCTCTTTTTGGGCGTCCCAACGGATCGCCCCGCTCGGCCTGAGGAAATGGTGACACATGGCAGGCGACATTGCCTTACCACACGGAACGGCGTGTCCGAAGCAGGGGGCTACCTGGGGTTGCTCCAAGCCTCGAGCAAAAGGGCGATCACATTTTGTAGGCATGGAGGAGCAATTTGGTACCGAACGGTCTAAGGTCACATTTAAGACCATTCATGTTAACTAGCGGGTTCGGACAAAATATGCAATTACCCATGTTCTGTGGGTTTCCGTCTGTAAAGCATAAAACAAAACAATGATCTAGCACCTAGAAAAGCATGCTGATGATGTTGAATGAACTGACCAGCACAGGCAAAAGTCGAGGAATTCCAAAAAAGCGACCTTCATGCGTGTGGTACCTCCCTCGTGTTCGGTTTGTGAGGTCGCCCTACTTTGCCCACGTCCAAACAGATGAAGAAACAGCAGCGTCGTACCGGCCTTAACATTAGAACCTGGGGATAAGCACCCTCTATTCCAAACGTATAACTTCTTTTTAAGGGTGGAACAACCTGGTTGTCCATTGTAAATACATGATACCAACAACAAACAAGTGCTGGTAGGAGGTTACGGGAGTATTTGTACCAGAAGCTGAAATTGGTGGTTTGGAGCCCGGTTGAGGGGTGGTTTCCCATCTATACAAGAACCAAGGGTTCAACATCCCAAATGGAAGGGACCTCAATTCATCTTCTGAAGTGCAAACCAAAGTTACCAATGAAACATGGACGGATTCTGGCTACAACGGCCTGCCTCTATGCCTCTTAATGCTGACCCAGGACTAATAAACCCGTCTCATTGTTAGGGGGGTGTTCCCTCCAAAAGTGGTCCGAATCCCCACTACAGGGAATTGGACACCCCCTTAATCAACCAGGGGTCCTGCTTAATCCGGGGTTAATTTTATAGGAGAACAAAAAGGAGGCCGAGGTGCTCAACATGCACATGACCTTCACGAGCAGCGCCAAGGAGAAGGTCGCCGCATACCTCGTGGCCGGCGTGATCTTCTTGGCCTCAGAGAAATTGTCTCGCGAGGCCGTGGCCGGGTCCGACTAAGACTTTTGGGGACCCCTACATAGGTTTCCGGGTCCTTTTTGGTAGTTGGCAACAAATGAAATGGTGGTGTACAACACACAATGGTTTTCAACTTTGGGTTTCCCACAAAGAACAACCCAATAAAGGCTGCCATCAAGAAAAGACACACCCATATTTGCGCTTAAAACATCACCGCTCCCAAAGCAACCTCACTTCACATTGACCCTAAAAGGTGATGTCGAAAGCATGCCCTTTGGGGTAAAAATGTATGGGGACTCATGGCAAAGTGAGGGCTCCGGTGTTGGTTCTTTGGAATCACATGTTTTGAAATCACGCCTGGGGGGTCCCGGTGTTGTTTTTTTTTGAAATCCCCCCAGTGTGTTTGTTGCTTTTGAAATCGCGCCCGGGGTGTCCCGGTGATTGTATTATTAAAATCACGTCCTGGGGGTCCCGGTGCTTGTTCTTGTTGCATTCATGCCTGTTGGCCGGGGTGTCTTTTCCGTTGAATTCACGCCTTTGGCTCCGCTTTTTGTTAAATTCACGCCTGTGGTCCCGGATGGTTTTTCTTTTGCAGTCAAGCTTGGGGGCTCCGGTGATTGCTTTTGTTTCTTAATCAGACCCAGGCGTGATGTAACAAAAACAACACCAGGACCCCCAGGCGTGATTTCAAAAAACAAAACACCGGGACCCCCCGGGCGCGATTTCACCAGGCGTGATTCCAACAAACAAATCACCGGGGCCTTCCAGGCGCGATTTCAAAATATGTGATGCAAAAAAGGATCAGGACCCGCCAGGTGTGATTCCAAAAAAAAAACGGGATCGAGGAAAGCAAAAAAAAGAAAACGCAAAAACACGGCAAACTAAAACATTAAGCAACTCTGGAATCACCAGTCGCTCACTCACTTGCTTGCTGCCTTCGTCCGTCAAATCAACACCACATTGCTAACCCAAAATGAGGAATTTCAAATAAACGGCTGGCTCAAATTTAAATACAAAAAACGTCGGTTCCCAAAGTGAGCCACAATCAGTTCGCACACCCAACAGGCACAGTTGGCACACAAAGGGGATACTTCTCAGTTGAGGTCCATGTGCTAACTCCTCCAAATACTGGGAGGAGGGTTCCCTTGAACATCAACCAACAAAAGCAGGTGACGCCTTTTAAAAGCTTTTGTGCCATATAGACGAACGGCCTTCTCTGACCACTAGATTTCCGCTTCGAGCGTGGATGGTCCTCAAAGGTTTGGCAAGTTACTGGTGCCGCGAAAACTGCCACTTTCGGAGGCTGCAGACTTGGGCCCATGTACTATAGGGGCGACTTTGAAGCCAAAGCCACAGTCAGAAGAGAATGATGCGCGTACTATGTTGATCCGGTTTCTACTTCCCCAAGCAACCCAAAGAACCCTCAAGATTACCAAGACCCTAAGGCTCATGACCCCATGCAGGGCCCCGGGAGGCTCCAATGAAGAACCCCCCTCGGGGGCCCTTGAAAACAACCCATTTTGAGGGCCCAAAAAGCATCGGGAGCCTTTGGGGACTTAGAAAGTTGGCCCAAGGGAAACCTCATAAAATCCGCCTTGCGAAGCACGAGCCACCCATGTTGAGAAGCACTGCCCGACCTTTGGATGTGGAACCTTTGGCCTGATGCTGAGCCTCCTGCAGCGCTTTGCGATGCAAGCACCTGGCGCAACCCCGATCACCCCGCCTTAAGGTTCAACTGATTCCCACGAAAAGAACGGTTGTCAGCGGGCTTGACTACTTGATGGCAAAAAGGATGATGAGGTACCTCTGAAGGGCAAACCATGGTCATATTAACCCAACCATATTATGGCAAAAAAGATGATGAGTTACCCCTGAGGGCCAAACAATGGTTGATATGATCACCAACCTTCTCAGGGTAAGCTGAATCCCATGGCCCATGGACTGTAGCATCGCATCGGAAAAAACCGTTGTCACCTCCTCCAACCCACTGAGACCGTCGCTTTCTTGCTCAAAGGACCCCAGAAACAAAAGGGAACCTTTTGGAACCTTGATTACACATGGAACACCGAAAGGTGGTTTCACATCGGTTTTGGACAACTGAGATTATAAAGTAACTCACTTCCGAACGAGTGTCAAGATCTGGTACAAAAGGGGTCCACTCGCAGCCATGTAACCAATCAACAATCCAGACATCCGCACGCATTTCTTGTTGGGACTGTCCGTTAGCCTACCTGGGCTTTGATGGCTTCAACAGTCTTCCTCAAAATCGATCTTCCAAAAGTCAAGTCCTGATTTGAGGGTTTGAGGTGGATTTGGGAAACCAAAAGGCCACCAGCCATTTTGGGGGGGTCCCACTCATTCGAGACGAACGCATAGGGACATATACCCTACGAATCACTCGCCATCCGTATCAATGGACCCAATGCCCACGCCTGCGGTGCTGGCTGGCTTTGAAGAGCTGCCGACTGGTCGGCCGCCTGTGGCACCTGCTGTACCTGCTCTGCCTGTGGCAGCTGTGCCGGCTGCGGTTCCTGTTGCTGGCCCGTTGCCTCCTGTTGCGCTGGCTGCGGTGCCTCCTGTTGCACCGGCTGCGGTGCTTCCTGTTGGACTGGTTGGACCTGCTGCACTTGCGGCGTCTGCGCCTGCGCCTGTTCAACCTGCGATTGCTGCTGCGGCTGAATCGGCTGTGCCTGCTGTGCCTGCTGCGCCTGCTCAACCAAAGGCTCAGCCAAAGGCTGAACCAAAGGCTGAGCCTGAGGTTGAACCTGAGGTAGAACCTGAGACTGAGCCTGCGGCAGCTGACTCACCTGACTCTGTATCTGCTGCAAAGGCTGCGCCTCAGGCTGAACTGGCTGCTCCGGCTGACCTGGTTGCGCCTGAACCGGCAGCGCTTCGCGCACCTCCTGCGTCAGCGCTGCCCGCGGGCTGGAACCTTCTGGCGCAGTCGCCTCCTGGCGATACGAGGAAGGCACTTGTTCCAGGTGATTTTTCTGGCTGTATCAACAGGGGCTGGAACGTCAAAGCAAATACCCTGTCCCCTCTGGTTCACTTTTGGAAATCCCCACGGACAATTCTCCCTTTGATGGCTGCTTGTGAGGTTCCTTCTGCCAATCCTCAGGAAAGTCCAGCAAGGGCTGCTTCGCAAACTGGACCCTACCCTTTACGATTCCTTTAAAAGGTCTCAAAAGGAAACCAACCAAAAGGGATGCCTTTGAGCAAGCCTCCACGGGCTTGCCAGACCTCGCTCTCATTTGGCGCGGCCTTCAGGACGACGGCGCAAACCCGAGAAGTTATCACCAGGGTTCGGGCTGAATTACTCAGATGTTGAGGGGATTCTGCAGAGGGACTTTAATGTGACGGGCCAGCCCATGTTGGCCCTATGATCATACCTTACCCTTGCTTTAAAGTACTAGGACGTCTGTCAGCTCCTTGTTTTGTCTGCTTTTAACTCAATTTCAAAAGGGTTGGTGGGTGAAAGTGCCAACCTGACGCGGGTTGAGGCACTGGTGGGGTCACTATGGGTCACTAGGAACTGCACATCTACGGGTGGATATGCATATGGGTCTGTCTCTTCTTGGAAGTATCGGTTGTTGTTGGGCGCTTTAAAGGGAAACTGGTGGAAAACATGGGGGGTTGGAGAAATTTCGTTTTGGGCTCCATGACCCACTTGCCTCGTCCAGCATCCTTATGGCTTCCTTCATGGAAAACTCAAATTTGCTAGGATGACCATAGAAAGTTCCTCATTCGTCCCGGGGAAATGTTAATTCATCATTGGGGAAAATGCTTGTTCTTCTTTAACATTGAGATTGTTCTTAGGGATATTCATCATTCGTCCAGGAACTGCTTTCTTTAGCACCTACAGTATGTCCTTCATGTTTGAGCACGACTGTAAAAGGACCCGCCGCTTTCTTTGCTGACTTCCTCTGAGGCTCTGAAAAGGCGATTCCCAGGAAACTGCCAGGTATCTTCCTCTGTTGGAGGTTATCCTGGAGGGTGGTCTTTCCAACAACGGTGTGGACCATAGGGAATTAGAAGACTACCATCGTCTGAGAAAGGTCCCTTGTCCACTTGCATGATTGTTGGAAAAAGGGTGCAATGAAGGCTGGGGTGCTTTAAGTCAAACATGTGTCATAATCATAAGAGAAGCGTGATTGAAATTATTTATCCATTTTAGCCCTTATCCAAAGGAACCCCCTGAAGATCTAGAAGCAACACGTTTCACGCTGGCCAAAGAAGTCCAGACATTTCTTTGCCACACAATGGCCCAAACCCCAAAAGTGTAAAGTCCATGAACTCAGGGAGTCAGCTTATCAAGGTTTATCATCCAACAGCCGCTCGGTTGCTTTCTGCTCCCATGCTAAAAGCTTAACTTTTAGTGGTTTAATTGGAAAACCCATTAGTTGGCGAAAAGTTAAAGTCCTAACACCCAAGCACAATGCACCAAAGGCCAAGTGTAGGGCCTTGCCTATCCATCCACCCAACTGCCACTTTCAAATAGCCGGACCATCAAAAAAGCGCCCGGGCCTCCGGCTGCTTGGCTCTCCGGTGCGCCTATCGGAAAGTCGGGAGCCCAAGAAGTACCACTGCTTGCAAGTTCAAGGGAAGCCTCCCCAAAAGCAAAGTAGGGTCGAAGCCCAATCAAGTTGCTGCGAATCGGGCTAAGGACAAAAAGGTCAGCGAGCCGTCTGGCAATGGGAAGTGGAATTTCTGTGCCCGCTTGCCAAACTCTCCTGCATGCCTACAGCGGCTATCTGTCAAATGCCAAGTTGGACATGGATGCGGGTGAAAGAACTGAGTGATCAATGCAGAGTGGATGGGCTGGTTGTTTGCTACTAAAATGTCCTTCCCAAAAAGTACAAAGTCCGTAAACTCAAGAAGCGAGCCAAGGCAAACAAGAAACAACCATTTATACTATGCTGCGAAGCATGAAAAGCAGTCGCGCTTCTAGACGATGTACCGCTGAGCACTTGGCCAAGAGCTTGGAGAACAGAGCCCAAAAGGTTCCCCTGACATCAACTGCCGGCATCCGTTTGAAGACACGTTGGGCAGGTTCACCCTGCCAAAACGATGTAGCCATTTCAATAGGTGAAGATTCCCGGCCTTCTCGCTCGAGGACACCCCCGGCACGATCTATCCATTGAATGGAAGCAAACAAAGCAGACAATGTCTCAGCTCAGGTGCAACCCCCATTAAAGAATGTTTGACCCAACTTAGATGATGATGCTCCCTGAGGCATTCAATAATGGTGTAATGAGAAACCAACAAAAAACACCTGTTCTTTCTTCTGGGGGGAGGGGGTTCCCTCACATAACATAATCTTGGAGGAGACCCGAGATTGGTGAAAGACTACCTCGATTTTAAATTGCCGTCTTGCGACCACTAGCTGTGAACATGTCTTTAAGTCAACGAATGGCGTTGCTGTAGTTATTCTTGTCGCCCAAAAATCCTTGCTACGACCAAACCCTGATGTGGATGTGTCCTCTTTTGAGCTTCAGGACCTTTCCTTCTTTTTTTCAAAGGCGACCGAAGGGAGAACAGCCAGTTTGGAGTTTTCCGTATGACAAACCGACATAACCCGCGCAAGACACCAGTTGAAAGCATGTAGCAGAACCACATATTAAAGTGGCCGAACCTGAAAACAAGATTTGGATCAGTGTGCAGCTCGTTTCACCGCCGGACCCAGCCACAAGTCCCGAGGTCCCGGACCATGGCAAACTCCCCGCGCCTCGGTGATTGAAGTGGGAATTACATCAAACAAAAGGAACCCCAAACAAAACTAACCGCTTTCCAATATATTGCAATATGTTTGTCCAATAAACAAGCTATTCAACAAGAACTCGACATAGGCAAGCGAGCGCAAATCGCAAATACGGACTTGCGCGCACGGGCACATCAACCTACATCAACAAGTGCATTGCCACAGCCCGCTGCCGCCAAATCATACCTCTTACACATATACATACATACACCTTCATCATCCAAAAGCAACCAAACAACCAACCAACCAACCAACCAACCAACCAACCAACCAACCAACCCACCAACCCACCCACCAACCCACCCACCCACCCACCCACCTACCCACCCACCAACCAACCAACCAACCAACCTACTAACCCACCCTTTGAACTTAATTCCCCAATGCAGCTGGAAATGGAAGGACCAACCTTGCTGCAAATGAAAAGGCCAACCTTTGGCGGCCACGACTCGCAATGGGAACCTACAATGGCAAATTCAGAAGTTCAAAAGGACGGATTGGGGCAAAGCAAGCAGTCAAGGGCGAAGCTAATTTTGCTATCGCCCTCTTGGAGGGTGCAGTCGGTGCCCTGAATTCTCCGTTTGAAGATCATGGACTAAAGGAGTTTCGACTGCTTGAATCTTTCAAATCACCCCTTCACACAACAGCTCCCATATGAGGGTTGTTCAAAAGAAAGGCGTCCCAATTTTTGGACTTCAACAGAGCAGCCACAAAGCTTTCAACACTTTCGGCCCACAAAACTTCCGCAGCCGGGCCGCTGCAAAAAGTTCTCCGGCAGTGTCTTCTGGAGAGTGTGCGCGGCGGAGGAGAGGTCTGATAAGACCTGGCTGAAGGATTTTTCAAGAAGCTCACACCCAAGAAGGGAGGCCGGGCCAACAAAATGACTTAGCACAAAACAAGGTTGACACGCACACCATGAGCCTAGGTTTGGAAGACTACTTTCCTTTGGGGAAAGCCCCTGGTTGTCAACATTAGGGCGCACGTTCTGGTATCCCCTTATGGCGGCTCCTTCGGCGTCACCAGGGTCCGAAAATGAAAAACGGCCGTCTTTTCAAGCTGCCCCAACTTGGTCCGGAAGACCTCACGACGGGCAACTCTTCAACTGGAGCCCCCTGAGCGCGCCTTTCAAGGAGCCCTGGAGCCTAGCATCGACCTACCCTCGACTTGTTTATTGCGAAGGGTCACGAATGTCTTCCCGGAGTCCCGACTGATTTGGGGATGGCGGGAAAGCGAAAGCGCAGGTTCCAACAGTTGGGTTATAGGCTAGACCAGTATCACGCAAAAAATGGGACCTGTTTATCACTCATGGTCAATTCCCTTGACAACTTTGTCAGCTTAAATGGAGGTTTCCTTGGTATCACAAAAAAAACTGGTTCTGAAACAATATTTTCCTGGCTTGCTTCGTTTACATGATCGTCATCTGATGCGCCTGTTTGTTAGAACCTGACAAAGGGCCGCCTCACCCCAAAAGGAGGCTGACTTGCAATTTCCTGTCCAAAACAGGATGATGAAACCACATTGTTAAGAATGAAGGACTACAAGAGACATCACCACCACAAACATAAGCAAATAAACACACGAGAAACACCACGCACGCGCGCACACGCACACACAGACACAAACACACACAGCCAAATGGTGGTCGCCCGTGATTACCTACTATAGCTGGGCTGTTCAAAATGAACCCATTATGCCCAACGCGTAGCTGGCGGGTTCAACCTTTGAACCAACAAAAAAAGGATCCCTTGTTCTACAATGTGCTTTAAGGTCCCATTTTGCTTGCAAGAAGACAGTTCTCTCGGGCATGGTGCAAAAGGGTTGGTTTCAAGGATTCAAGGCAAGGGAAGCCGCGCTGACCGACCACCACAACTCCGCCGGCGAGGCGAACCGTACCCAGGGCAACGTCGCCAGCTCTGCGCCCAGCGCGCCTTAGCGAAGGCACTGGCCACAGGTGTCTCAGCCCTCAAGTGACTCAGGTCATCACCCGAAGCCTGGGACCATGACTAAGAATGAGCACCCACCAAAGTCAAAAGGGTTTTGTTGTTTTTGCGTTGCTGGAAATTCCCTTGTTCAGAGGTGGTTCTTTTAGCAAATCTGCTTACTTGCTTCCTGACAAGCTCCCAGGGCTTTTCGCATGCGAAGCGGATTTGATACCACTACAACGCGTGCCCCTGCCAATCTTTCCCGAAGTTCATATTTAAGCTTTCAGCATCAACAATTCTGAGAGGTTCCACAACCCCCTTCCTCGCCATAACTAGGTCCTCCAGTAGAGAGGTTAGAACAAGGCTAGCCTTTTTTTCCGTAGTCTATTTTAGTAGGGGAACCCTCCCCCAAAAAAGGGTAAAAGGGCACTACTGGGGGACCTAGCAAGGCAAAGGGCACCCGCTTCGGCTTGACTTAAGAGCTCAAGTGAAACCATCGCTGCCCACATAAATGTCGCACTGAATGGCCACCAAAGGGCTCCATGGGCAGTTTGGCAAACTTTGCAAACCCTATGTCTTTTAAAGAGAATACAACCTTCCATACAGGGTCTTACTTTCTCAGACCGTTGTTGGGCGTTGTGGTTGCCAAGCTGCAGGACTGTTTGCTTCACAGTCTCCTTTGCAAGGAAAACAACCTCAACCCTGCCATGATTCGCCCAGTTGCATGAAAAACACAAACGTAGCAATAGCGTGAAGAGCAATCTGCTCAATGGCCATGTTCCCTTTGGTGCCAATCAGAAAACCGTACCCAGGGTCACTCGAAACCTTTTGACAGACTACCCAGGGAAAGCTTGCCATTTGACAAAGTCCAAGGTCGTTCAAGCCGAAGCAAAAAGACATGAACAGTTGGCCCCGGCTCGCTCGTTTGGCTTTCAACAGGCTAAATCGACCCTGAAGGCCATTGCCTCTAAAAGACCCTTCATGCTGAGTGTTTGCTGAATAATTAGACTCACAAGCTTTTTGCCTGGGGACCAATTTGGCATGCCAAAAGAACAAAAGGACACCTCCTCAAAGGCGGACCATACATTGGTTGATTGTAAGGCAGCCCCAAGCTTGCAACCCGTGTTGCACAAGCCAACTCGGCCCACAAACAGCCCCTCCCCCCCCTGTTTCTAGCGGCGGCACTTTCCATCGCTGCAGCCGGCGCCAGCAGCAGCGAGAGTCTAAGCCTCGGAGCAATGAACAAGTCTCCCCTGTGGAAAAGGCTCAATCGCACATGATCATCTTATGATCATGACTCATGACTAAATATGGCTATAGAATCATTTGGGCCTTGACATGCTGTTTTGAACTGGCTCGCCGTGCTTCGGCCACTTGGATCAATTAGGGGACTTCACCAACCTTTCCGAGGTTAAGGGTTGGTTTCCCATTTACCCTCCGCAAGAACCAGGAGTTCAAATCCTAACTAAGGGCTTCCTCACACTTCATCGGTGAGGTCTCAAACCCCTAAAGGTTGAATCCCGGTGGCACATTCTCATGCGGGAAGCAAAGTGAGCGCGTATTGACTTAGTTCCGAAGCCACCAATGGGTCCTAGCACGAATAAGTGGAAACGCCAATGGGTGCAACAACTCTCATTGGGTACTTGGCATGCCGGGCTGCAATGATCAAACATAAAATATGCCCAGTCCGGCTTTCCAGTTGCCATAGTTACAACTAATTAAATTGCGACTTGGAAGATAGGTTCCGTACGGTTCCCCATTTAAGCATCACCCCAAAGCGCTGTAAAACTGGCCGAACTTGTGATACGTGTAAAATCGACATGGCCGACATCTGGGGCACACAGAAAAGCACATATTGTCTGACATGGTTCCGTAGTCTACCCGGCCCGAAAATATGTAACATATCTCTGGAGACCCCAGAAAAGGGGACACGCAGGCAACCCAGAACACGATCGGACAGATTCTTGGAGAGTCATCCAGTCTCTCGTGCACCAGTACCTTTAGGCCCAGATAGGCCCAGTGTATGGAGTGCTCAGATTGTACTCATTTGGGTGTGTCTCAAAAATAACGAGCTAGGGATGCACAGGATTAATGTGTGTTTGCATTTCAGGGGTCATTTTGGGTACCCGAACAGCCACTTGCCATGACCTGAAGATCGCCTTTCGTGACTTCTAGAAACGTGAACAAAGATGGGTCCCAAAGACTGCGGTGTTTCCCTTTAGTGTCGGCTCCTCAGCGACCCCACTGTATCCAAGGGGGCCACGCACGCAACACATCCGTGGTACTTGCTGGCGATTTTGCTACAAGTGACTCACTTCTTGTTGGTTCGTGGGGAAACCATCCGCATTTTCAAGCAACAAGTTAAAGCTTCAAGATCCACTCAAAATGAAGACAACGCAAACACCTGGTTTGCGTGTTTGCGGTAAACTACTAATTATGGCTTTGACACAGATCCATTTCCCATCTCCCCCTCGAAAGCTCGTTCATGCCGGGCCGCATGGTAAGACTCATCGCGTGGTTGACAGCTGCAACCTGTCACGGTGCAAAGAAGAGGTGCATTAAACGAGCGGTGGAACATTTCTGGTTCCCCCGATTGGACATGTGACTCACCCTTTTTTGTGGGACATGTTGTGAGTTTCTCCATGCCACTCCCAAATGAATCATAGACTACTGGAGATTTTGACCGAGGCCCCTGTGTGAGCTTCACTTTGTGCAATTTGCCTAACGTAGCAAGCCTGGAATGGTCTTGAAACCTGCTTCACCACAAGACCGACCAAGGACACTTATCTTTCGACTCAGGGCCACCTACATACTATGTTTGAATCACTCAAACTGGGAAGTATCAGTACCTCTGCCGTGATCTCTCAGTTGCCTTACCAGGCAGAGACAAGTTGATGCTCACCTACCTACCAGACCACAGAAGTTGTCAAATGCAGTGGTTTTTCTTGGTTCCCTGATCCTTTGGCTCCCAGTCACCCTTGGTTGCAGGGATTGCCCCTCTGGTCAACAGTGATGTCTCCTGGTTACCTGCAGTTGTCTGAAAGCACTGGGTGATGGCATGTTGAATTTGCTGGTCGGAAACCACAAGGGATGGCTCATATGCGGGTGAGAGGAACACCCGAAGCCGGTTCACGTTTGGTTGCGGCAGAGTGGAAAGACGTTTTGTGGCCTCCCTACAAACTTCATGAAAACAGGCGAACTTATTAAAATGGTTGATGGAATGGGCGCCCTGCTGACGTGGCTAATAATGCTAGGCTTCAACTTGTTGGAGACAATTATCAGTAGTCTTCTGACGGTTTCTTGAAATCACACTCATTGCTTCACTGTTGTTGATTAGGGGGAACCGCACACCTTTTCCCCAAAAGTTAATAACAAATCCAACCAAATAGCAATCAAGTCAGGGTTGAGGAAATCCTCCTTCTGTAATAGCGGTGGGCTTGCTAGGCCTTCCAATGACAACTTGTTTACCGCGGGATTTTCCCGGATGGCACACGAGCGAGAACCACATAAGTTTACTGGTGAAACAAAGCCTTGGTGCGTCTAATTTTAGGCCATGACTACAAGAAGATGCCATCAAGGCATTACATTTGCCAATGAACATAGACGCCCTCTGCAAAGCAGTGCTCTCAGAGCTCCATGTTAAAGCCAGTGGGTGAGTTAAGATTTTTCCAAGCCAATGTCTCGTCCTCCTAAATAGAGAAGTGGTTGGTGGACATGAGTCCCCAAACTAGATGACGTCCACCAAACGCCAGGTGCCTGACCATGAGCAGGCCGACTGGCGGCCTATGCTCCAGTCCTCACATCTGGGACGGGGCGGGTAAAGGGGGGCACCTGATTTGAAAGGGAAAGAGCATCCTGCCCAAAATAGCCCACGAGCACCTGACTTGTTGCTGGTTAGCTGCTTATGTATATATATATATATGCCAAGCTCCAGGTCCCCTCCCCCACAATCATGGGCATCCTTCCTTGTGGTGTGAAAAAAAGGTGGGAGTGAGGCTTCGTTCGTTTAGAGTGAGTTTCGCTGGGACTTGGATGAAGGGTGCAAGCTCCGGTTAGCTTTGTTGATGCCTGTGGATGCGCGGCGAGGTTGGGAGTGGGCTGGGCCTGCGGGCTGGGAAAATTATATTTTTCCAAACACATACATGACATATATATATATATGTGTATACACATGTATATATATATATATATATCGAGCAACACTAACACTAACATGTCAACGAGGGCGGCGCTGGAGGTCTGCAAATTTAACGATCTGAGGGATGAGCCACGGGCCAGGCGTCGATTTTCAAGGAAGGGTATACATGGGCTTGCCTCAATGCGGACCCTCCTCTCTCAAACCGCGAGAGGCGCTGTTGCAAAAACCCGTGCATCCCTGACAAGAAAGAAACAAACATCGCAATTTTCCGGAATACAATAATACTCCAATGACACATTCTCTTTGGGATAATTTTGGCTGCTTAGCAGGTATGGGTGCTCGTGATGGAGCCATCTTGGCCCGAAAATAGTCGTCCAGTTCCCTCAGTCGCGATCCATATTGGTGAATACAAACCAATGCCGTGCGCGGTGCGCGGGAATCAGCAAAGGGGCCTATATCTTTCAGAGGGCTGGGCCCTGTGGCCAGCTCCCCCGCAGTCCGAGATCGCATGGCCGCAACGCCTTCCAAGGGCCGACCGCGCTGAATACGCGACTCCCAGCTCGTCGGACTCGGAGGTGGCAACGACTGACGCGTGCGGCGCTTCGGACCCTCGTGTCAGCTGCGCGGAGAGCTCGGGAAGGGCAGTGTGCCCGTCAAGGCACAGGAAGAAGCCGCAGGTCTCCGCAGGTTTCCCGTTTAGCCACAAGAATCCGAGGTTCAAATCCCATCACGAATCAAGCCGCCAAGTAAGGCTTGCTAAACTCAAGTGTACACAAAAATATCGTTTTCCGTAGAGGGTTTGTCTTTTAATGGGAACCATGGGAAAATGAAGGGGCACCCTCTCAAAGAGGGACTCTACACTTGTAGGGTCCCTCTATTTGCCAAAAGAGGCCAAAAGGCAACCCCTTGTTCCATATCTAGTCTAACCCAAAATACAACATGTTTGTTTGAGGAGACCACGGGTAGATGTCGGACGCTTGTATTTGGCCATCCGATGTCGTATCAGTATGCACAGAAGTGAACAGCCTAGAACATCTCAACTTGCATTTCAATCAAGCGCATTGTGGATCTTTTGTCTCCCTTCCTGAGTAGCTTGGTCCCAAAACGTCTGGACTTGTTAATTACCATTTATGAATGGTCTTCGCATGGAGTACACACAAAGTCCAGAAACTGGCGAAGTGAACTATGTAAATAATATGTCTATTCTTAGAAGTATATTTGCAAAACGAGCGCTCAGTCGCTGTGTGTTTACTCTACGAGGGCAAAGCGCCCTCGTGAATTGACCCCATGGCACTGGCCGTCTCTAGAATGCTGTTTTCTATCGGTAACTTCCATTTCAGGGATCCTTCTTTCCAGAAAACCCAGCAGAACCCCAGGGGAAACAAAGGGTTTTCGAAAAGAACGATGGCTGAAACGAATGCGGAATGAACCCCTAGATGTTTGACTTTTTTTTCAAGAAGTGGACCACGTGGCAAGGAAACCAGATTCAATCGCTGCCAAGCAGCAAACTGAAAAAGACCTGCTGGCAGGCATTTTCCCGTTAAAAGGGACCCTCTTTCAGGTTCCATGTCGATGGTTGCAGAAGGAAGCTACTTTGCGAAAAAGAATCCGGATCACAGATTTGGCAAGGCGTTTCTATGGATAGGGGCTGATTTGATCTTTTTTGCCCATTTGTTTGAGGCGTCCAGTCACTGTTTCTTCGGAATCAAAAGCGAGGCCCACGTAATTTGCAAGACGTTGTGGACGTTGTGGGGCACGAGTGACTTAGACACCCCAACTATTCCTGTAGGAAAAGGCCCCTGCAACAAAAGGTCCCCTAGTTCACAACGAATTTGTATTTTATCACGGTGCGTGCGTGCGTGCGTGTGTGTGCGTGTGTGCGTGTTCCAAAAAACGTAGGCTAAAGATCCGAATAGCAAGCAAGCTCACAGGCCGATTCTCCGCAGGCCGAGCTGAGGACAGGGCACTTCGTTGCGCCAGGACACACCTCTGCCAGGCCCGACAGTGAGCCACGCTGAGAGGGGTTTGTCGCAGAATGGAATCGGAATATGGCAACCCCAAACCCAAACCAAGGGTGGTGTTCCTTTCAATTTACCTTTGTAAGCACCCCAAAAGGCCCCATATAGTGTCGCCCGCAATTGCCGTGGACATGGAAAAAAGCAGAGAGTTGTGGTTTTTGTGGCTAAATTTAGAGACCCCTGCTTCCCGCCCCAAGTTAATGGACCACAATCTACTGGAAATGATGACCTAACCTCAATTAGGGCCTGGCCAACGGGGGTCTTTGTGAGAGCTTGCGGGATCCCTGGAAAATACTCACATGCAGCATAGTCAAGCGGATTTTTGGCACATCCGCGCAAACTTGGTTGCTATTGACCTTCACCAAAAGTTGTGAAGATTTATGCTGGGTCTGCTTGAATAGTCTTATCCCCCTCCTTGGAACAGTGCCAATATTCCAGCGGGCCTGTTTAGTGGGCAATTCGGGGCTTTGGGTTCGAGTTCGACTTGCCAACACTTGATTGATTTAGTATAAATTTAGTATTGCCAAGCCTTCCTAGTACTTGACTTCGTATTGTCAATTCCAAACTTGGTATTGCTAAGGCGTTGACCACCCTTTAAACGTGAAAGGCTACAGGTTTCTCTGGGAATTTGCCCAACCCACAAAAGTTGGACATTGAAGCTAACCACGAAACAGTCAGATTAAACAGAAGCAGGGCCTCTTGTGGATGCTTTGGGGACAATGTCAAAAAAAAGAGTTTCTGACATTTGCCCGGATTTGTTTGCCCGGATTTCTTCCAGCAAATCTGGGATTTAAAGTGGTCACTGCGCTAGTGGTACCCCGCTAGTGGTCACCACAAACTTTTGCCCACAAAGATTGAAAGGTCAAAGATCCAACCAAGACCCAGCCATGGCATGCCCATGTGACCTGGTGCCCATGTGACCTGGTCAGTTTCGCAGCGTTCATTCCAACAGGTAGCTGATCAGCCAGAGCTCCCTTGGTGGACAAAAGCATATTCTGGAACAATGCACGCAGAAGGAAGCCGCTCTACCTGAAGGTGAAACATACCTTTGGATCACCGCGTCGCTTCATGATGATGCTAAATGCACGCTTTCCACTAATGGCTAGCCCAGCAAAACGTGCTTCCTGCAGGCCCAACTAGATAAGACTACCAACTGCGATTGATAGAACAAAGGGTCACTAGCAAGAACGATGACCGCGGCTTGACAAGTTTGGCACTGTCCAGTTTAAACTTTCGCTGTGGTGGGGTGATGCTTAACAAAGGCATACATGCAACTTTGGATCGTGGTGCGCCCCTTATGGCCATGTTCACTTCTGATTTTGAACAATTCCCTTTGCAAATTCATCAGCTGTGACCCGAAAGGTGGCCCCCCCCCAAAGGACATGTACTGCGATCCGCGTGACACCGAAAATCACCGAAACAACGTGCAGGGCCAAAAAAGGTGCCGATCCAACACCGTTCCCTCACCATTGCCTGGCTTGAGGAGGTAACTTCTCCCTCCGCTTGAGCCAAAGTGACAAACGCCCGAACGGCGTCAGAACCCATTGACATTTGCTTATACCAAGACGGTTTTTATGGGTACAAAAGGGCTTACTGCAATCCTTAAACCAGGTAGAACCGGTTTTGGGTGCTCAAGTGACAAAAGCCATGAACCTGTACAGCTTGAGTCGAAGCAATCTCATACCTTCCGGCCATGCTCAAAAGCCTTGGGCCCAAAAGGTTTTGGACACCGTCACATTGAAACCCGCCTCTGTCAGGTACACGGTGTCGACACCTGTCGACCACTTTGACCACCCATGGCCCAACCACGAGGTACACCAAAACGTGTTCAGATTCTGCGTCATACTTAGTCAAGCTTAACATACAGCATATCGGAGACGCCTGGCAAA